GGGGGGGGGGATTAAACGTTGACATCAACTTGATGGCACCTAACCATCATTAGCCTGTCTGGTTATAGGAGATCTCTAGTCTTTTCCCCACCAGTGAAAGCTCTGGGGATGGTGATGACTTAACAATATTTCATGCCTGTTCAGAGTTACAAGGGCACTGAAAAAAACTGACTCTTCACCTAATATTTCTTCTTTAAATTTTTGTTATTTTATTTTTTTTAATAATTTCATGCATATACCTGTGTTTAGCTTTGAGTATCCAACCCAGTCACTTGTTGTGAGATGGGTGGTTGTATAAATTTGACAGCTAGATGATATAGAGAGTTAGAGGGGGGATAGATAGATAGAGACGATAGATAGATGATAGAGAGAGAGAGATGATAGAGATAGATGAGAGATGGATGGATGGATAGATAGATAGATAGATAGATAGATAGATAGATAGATAGATAGATAGATATGATAGAGTTATAGAGAAGAGAGATAGGGAGAGAGATGATAGAGATGATAGAGATGATAGAAATGATAGATGGATAAGAGATGAGAGAGATGATAGATAAATAGATAGATAGATGATAAATGGATGGATGGATGGATGGATGATAGATAGATAGACATATAAGATAGAAAGAGATAAAAGAAATGATAGAGATTAGACGGAGACAGTTGGAGGGGGAGAGTGGGAGGGGGAGAGTGGGAGGGAGAGAGAGAGAGAGAGAGAGAGAGAGAGAGAGAGAGAGAGAGAGAGAGAGAGAGAGAGAGAGAGAGAGAGAGAGAGAGAGAGAGAGAGAGATATTCTGGGATTTCCAGACCGCATCATCCCAGGACTAGCCTGGACTGGCCTTGCAGAGATTCTGAGATCAGCCCTGCTGAGGGAGGGATTTTCACCTGCTGACGGGGAGTCTTTCCTCTCCAGATCACCCGAAAAGCCCTTGTGGAAGAGAGAAAATAGCGTATCCCTAACAAGACTCAAATGAAGGAGCTGCTGCTTCTTTACCCGTCATATAAAGTGTTTGATTTCATCTTCCAAAATACGTTCTCCTTGGGGCACACTGATCAAAATGGGTGAAATAATCAAATTGGTTAATTCCCATTTGAAAAAGCATGCTTTCAAACCGGCGCAAAGAATGGCAAGAACACTGGATTAAAAAAAAAAAACAATGTAAAATTATGGGAAACAGAAGGAGACCATTTTTCCTAGGCAGCAAAAGGAGGGAAAGAAAGGGAGCAAATGGATCAGTCTCCAAGGAAGGATTTGGCCCGAAGGCTTTGAATTAAAGCGGTCAGGAGTCTCCTGGCCTTTCTCCACATCTGATTTCAGTGCCCGGGGAGACGCCCCAGATGGGAAGCATCCAGAATCTGCTGTGCAAAAATATAACAGAATAACAGAATAACACAGCTGGAAGGGACCTTGGAGATCCTCTAGTCCAGCCCCTTTCCCCTATACCACTTCAGACAAATGGCTGTCCAGTCTCTTCTTAAAAGCCTCCAGTGATGAAGCCATCACAACTTCTGGAGGCAGGTAGTTCCACTGATTAGACTAGACAAAGGCAATTTCTCAACCGTTCCTTCTATGTTTTAGCCTCCAGTCCCCTAATCATCTTTGTTGCTCTTCTCTGCATTCTTTCCAGAGTCTCAACATCTTTTTTACATTGTGGGGACCAAAATTGGATGCAGGATTCCAAGTGTGGCCTTACCAAGGCCTTGTAGAGTGGTATTAACAGTTCACCTGATCTTGATCCTCTCACTCTGTTAAGGCAGCCTAGGACTCTTAGGGAGATTGGAGTCCGGTGGGGCTGACCGCCTAGTTCCCTTCTCTACTTTATGGGGGACAAAGTTGTCTGCTAGGTTCATCAGGAGCCAGCTGGATCTCCCACTAGGCGCAAAAAAATGTGTCCCAATTGATGTCAGGGTAGTCAAAGTCCCCCATTGCTATTTTGCTGTGCTTTCTCCATGCCTTAGTTAACTGACTAATAAAAAGTTCATCTATTTCCTCTGTTTGGTTGGGTGGCCTATAGTATATACACCTATGGCAATGTCATTTCCCCCCCCCCCTTTTATATTGACCCAAAGGCATTCAAGACAGTTTTCATCACTGTTGTGCTCTATTTCTGTAGAGATATAGTTATTTCTTATAGAGAGAGCAACTCCACCTCCTCTTTTATTTGGTCTGTTTCTTTTAAATCATTTAAATCCCTCTAGCTGTGGGTTCCATTCGTGGGTTTCATCCCACCAAGTTTCCGTAAGATCATATATCGTATCTGCTCTCATTTACCTGAATTTCTAATTCACCCTGTTTGTTGCTCATGCTCTGTGCATGAGTGTTGTCTGAATGTGGCCACATCCTGACCCTCCCTCCCCCCCCTTGCTGAGAGATGAGGGGAGTTGTAGTCCTAGCCCTCCCCAAAGGAACTCGCCAAAGTTTACCCCTCACCAGACATGGCAGCTTGGGGTGGGGGAAGCGGGATGGACTGGAGGAGAGCTGTTCATAGGTAGAACATGGAAGAAGGTGGAAGGGACCTTGGAGGTCATCTAGTCCAACCCCTGTGCTCGAGCAGGGGAGACCTTATACCAGTGATGGCGAACCTTTTAGAGACCGAGTGCCCCAAAACCACCACCCCACCACTGTCCCCGCTCTGCCGTGCCCACTGGATCACCCATCACCTCCACGGCCTGCCACAGATCACCCAGGCAGCCCAGCAGTGCCATGGTGGCCATGCCCTCTGCCTGTGCCCTGCACTAATGATCTGCGTGCAATGGCGTGAAAGGGCAGAGTCTTGTCCCCTCTGCCCGGCTACCATGTCCTTGGCTGCGCAGCATTGTGTGGGCCGTGCCCAGGGATGACTCTCCTCCAGAGGGCTGCTGGTGAGGAGGGGACCATGGGCAGAGGTGGGGCTGGGGCAATGGTGTGTGTGCCCACAGAGAGGGTTCCAAGTGCCGCCTCTGGCACCCGTGCCATAGGTTCCCCACCACTGCCTTACACCATTTATGCCATTGAGCAGGATACCCTAGTATAGGCCTATACCAGGAGTAAGCAACCTTGGCTCTTTTATGACTCGTGGACCAACTCCCAGAATTCCTGAACCAATATGGCTCAGCTTGGAAACCTCTCCCTTTCCCCTCAGCATGGCTGGCTCAGGAATTCTGGGAGTTGAAGTCCACGAGTCATGAAAGAGCCAAGGTTGCCTATCTCTGGCCTAGGCCTAGGCCGCTTTATGATTCGTGGACTTCAACTCCCAGAATTCCTGAGCCAGTCTGGCTCAGCTTGGAAACCTCTCCCTTTCCCCTCAGCATGGCTGGCTCAGGAATTCTGGGAGTTGAAGTCCACGAGTCATAAAAGAGCCAAGGTTGCTTCACTCTGGCCTAGGCCTAGGCTGTTTTATGACTCATGGACTTCAACTCCCAGAATTCCTGAGCCAGCGTGGCTCAGCTTGGAAACCTCTCCCTTTCCCCTCAGCATGGCTGGCTCAGGATTCTGGGAGTTGAAGTCCATGAGTCATGAAAGAGCCAAGGTTGCCTATCCCTGACCTAGGCCTAGGCCGCTTTATGACTCGTGGAATTCTGGGAGTTGAGGTCCACGAGTCATAAAAGAGCCAAGGTTGCCTACCCCCTGGCCCTATACCATTAGAATCTGAGTCCCAATGAGGGAGGGAGAGGGAGGCGTTGGGTGCCAAGAAGGGGCAGGACCCTCCCGTTGTGGAGCGGCAGCCTCAGGTGCTCCCAAATGGCTCCCCACGTGTGCTTGGGGAGGACTGCTGACATTCTGGTCCTCAAAAGAGGGCTTGAGGGGAAGCAGAGCATGGGGGGGTCCTTCCCCTCCCTGGGATCAGCCCACCCTCCTCCCAAACCAGTTCTGGGTTCGGATTCGAACAGGATGGTCAGTCTACAGGCAGGCGAGACCTCAATCTGGGGAGGGGGAGGGGAGAAGGAAAAACCCTCCTGGGGGGCAGAAAAGAGGAGTAGGAAGAGGAAGGAAGGAGGAGTTCCAGGGTTTTCCTACAATGTTTATTCTTTGATAGCAAAGTGAAGGGAAGGGATTCGGATGAAGAGTAATGAAGATGAAGCTGCTGTGGATTCAAAGCCGGGAGAAATGGGGGTGGGTGGGTTTGGAGCGACAGGCAGGCCTGGAGTCCCTGGGGTAAGTCTAGATGGTTTCCACCACCCCCCTCCCAAGAAAGGGAGGCCTTCAAAGGAAGCTGGGAGGGGGGTCTCAGCAGGAGAAGCTCCAGGCTGCCGTTCTCCTCCTCCCCCCCAATCTAAAATCTTGAGCTTCCATTTTTCAGAAGTTGCGAAAAAGCCAGAAATTCTTCAGCTACTGAAAAAACAAAACAAAAACCATCCTTTCCCATCAGGAATCAGGAAGGATTAATTCATGAGTGCTCTAGAAAAAAAGAGACAGGAAAGAAAATTAGAATGTAAAAGGAAACCTTCAGTGTAAATAACTTATTATTCCTCTCTTTCAGCCCCCCCAGACAGGCCCACATTGTAGAGGGGGGGGGTTGATAGGCAGGGGCAGAATGAGGGAGAACCACACACCCCCCCCTTTCAGGGAGGAAAAGGATGCAAAGGACCAGCAATTCATCTTCTGGGGCTGATGGAATCTTCCCCAACTGAATTAATTGGGGGGAGTTAATCAAGAGAGGAGACCTCCCCCCCCCAAACATTTCATATTAACAAAGAAGATGGGGCAAGGATGGAGCATGGCAGCAAAGCCAGGTGTCACTTTGCCAGGAATTGTGTGAAATGTCACAAGGAGACTTCCCTTCCCTTTTGCAATTTCCCAAAACTTGGAAACATCCTGGGCCAGATTTTAATGTTTCTCTGTTTCTTTGTTTTTAATTCCAATGCATTTGCAGGTCTCTGTAAGGAAAAGCTGCCCAAAATTTCAAAAATCTGTTGCATCCACAGCAAGGACGTTTTGTTCAGGAACATTTTTTTTTTACAAAAAGGAACAATTGACGAATGTTAAAGAAACATCTATAACCTGAGGAGAAACTCACCTGCAGGAGGCTGGATGGGAATTGCTGGAAGGAGAAAAAGAGCCAATCAGGACCCTTCATGGGCTGGAGGACTGGGGGGGGGGCTCCCCATCGATAGCCCATCGTAGGTTGCAGGATGCTCACTTATAGAGTAGACCCTCAAAGAACAGAATTTCCCAAGCAAATCTCCAAGGGGGCCTCCTTGCCATCTGCTAAACTTGCTGAGAGGCCCCCCTGGAGGGTCCCCTCCCCACAATCTCTTATCCAGCCCCCCAGACTCACCGTTCTTGCTCTTCAGGTAGAGGGAGAGCCCCATGGCAAAGAAGATCACCCCGATCACGGCTGCCACGATCCCCGTCCAGAGTTTGCTCTTGGCCGAGTTGGAGGATCGGGGCTCTGGGGAAGGAGAAGGAGCCCCCCCTGAGCAGGAGGATCAGGGCCAGCTTCCCGCCCCAGGAGGGTCCATCCCAGCTTCCCCCACCGGGAGGGTCTCTTCCCCCTTCTCAGGGCAGGAGGGGGTCCCCAGACCAGGAGGGGAGGGAGGGGAGGGGCTCACCCCACTGGACGATGATCGGGGCCTCCAGGCTGGCATGCTCCACCTGGCAGGCGTAGACGTCCCCCCGCTGGGGCTGGGTCTCCAGCATCACCTGGAGCTGGTAGGTCCAGTCTCCGTTCTGGAGCTCCTCCCCGAAGGCCACGCCCTCCTCCTCCGGCCGCCCGTTCTTCAGCCACCGGACCTCGATCTCCAAGGGGTAGAAGCCCCTCGCGATGCAGAGGAGGATGGTGTTGGGGGAAGTGGGATCCAGCTTGGTGGGGGAGATGGAGACGGTGGGCTTGGCTGGAGGGGAGGAGGGGGAGGAGGGACACAGGGGAAGAGACACAACAGGTAAAGATTTCTATAGCAATAAAACTGGAATTCCCAATCAAGATAAAATTATAGTTAAAAGATGGGGAGGAGGGAACAGGATGCATGGCGGGGAGGGGAGATGGCCTCTTAAGTCAATAACCCCCCGTGTGATTCTACCCCAGGGGGGCTCCAGCTCAACTGGAGAATCTGAGTTTGTCTTCTGGGGTGTTGGTTGTTCGTTCCCTCCAGTTTAGTGTCATTGGCAAATTTCATGAATTTCCCTTTCAATTCCCTCCTCTGAGTCATTGCTGAAGATATTGGAGGGGCCCAAGACGGAGATAAAATATACCTACGTCCTGGGCAAGGGAGACACCTTGCTGGATTCTCTCCCCCCCCTCCCCCTTCAAAAAAAATGTAATATTTGGATGGATTTTCTGGAGGGAACTTTTCCTGGGCAGGAAAAACTTTGGACCTTGGGAAGAAAAGGAAGATTATGTGACTGATGGGAGGGAGAGGGATGTAGTTTTTTTCCCTTTGGATGTTTAGTTGTCATCATGTCAAGCTTTAAACAGTCTTATTTTGGTGCAGCCATTGTTATCTTGTCACTTGCAAGAGAGGCAGGTGGGAGGGGGGATCAATCCGAGGTGTTTGGACCAGTTTAATATGGCAAGGAAGGTCCTGCTGGATTGTTCCTAGCAGAGGAATTCTCTCATAACAATTGTCTGGGGCTTAACTGTCTGTCTGTCTGTCTGTCTGTCTGTCTGTGTGTCTGTCTGTCTCTCTCTGTGTGTGTGTGTTTGTGTGTGTTTGTGTGTGTGTGACTTGCTCTCTCAGGGGGAGACTTTTAATCTGTCCTTCTGGCCCCAAAAGGCCAGAGATGGTTTCCAACTCCTTCCGTGCCGGGATTCTCTGCCCAAGGAAGTTCTGCATTCGGGAGGGGAAGGTCTCCCGTCTGCTTCCTTCCCTGGGATCTTCAGCCGGAACCAGGACACCCTATTGTGTAATCCCACCTTTTTTAAAACTGTGATTTAAATTTTAACCTTATCTTTATTCAAGGGTTACGTTCTATCCTACACCCCCCCAGAGCCCCTCTTTGGGGGAGGGAGGGGGCGGTTTAGAAGGACCCATCAATAGCGATAGATAGAAATGAATAAATTGCCTGGATCTGAGAGGAGAGAGTGTATATAAGGAGGGAATCTTTCTCCGAGAGAGTCCTAATAAGTGAAAGGAAGGGGGGGGGGTCCTGGGATCGCCTCCCGAACGCCCCCTCCCCCACTCACCTCTCCGGCCAACCACAGAAATGCCCTGGAGAACCCCGTAGTTGTGCCGGCAGAAAGAATCCACTTCGGCCCTCTTGATCTGCATGAAGACCTTATCATTGCTCCACTTGTCCACATCGGGCTGCCCCAACGGAGTGACGGCCACGTATTTCCTGAGGTCGCTGTCGAAGTAGTCGATCTCCTGCCGGTCGTAGATGTACCAGTCCAGGAGTCGCACCCGCTGCGTCCCGTTGAAGAAATGGCACTCGGACTTCCACTGGACCAGGAAATGGGCTGCAGGGAGGAGGAGGAGGAGGAGGAGGAGGAGGAGGAGAAGGAGGAGGGCCATCAGGAGGGACTCAAGGGCCCATCGTTCCCAGCCGCTAGCAAAGGAGGGACCCGTAAGCCAAGCGGGAGGGGGGGAGGCCTTCCGTGAGAGGCTGGCAGAAGACGCCCCCTGGAGGAGAGAAGGGGAACTCTCTCAGTGCCAGCGGGAGGACTTGCTGGGGGGGGGGGTTCTGGAGGGGGGTAGTAACTTCCTGCTGGACTCCTCCATCCTCCCCGGGTGGAAAAAGGCAGGCAGAAGCTCAACTGGTCTAGCAGATCTACTCTCTGCAGGGAGCATTGGATCTAAACGGCGAGGAATTGGGGGGAGGGCGAAACTTTTTGAGGTGGAGGGAAAGTAATATCCATACCCTCCAGTCTCTCTCTTCTTTGGGGGGGGGTGGGGAATATGGGGAAGGGGGCACAATGAGTGACACTCCTGAGGGGTCCCAGCCCTTCAACCGCCCACCTTCCCTGGGTCCCAACTGATCTTTTACCCCCCAATCTTCAGCCCAGCTCCCTGCCTTGGGATGATTTTCGAGATTCAGACTTGTTTCCTCTCCCCCTCCCCAAAAGGCCCCCTGCAGCTCCCCCAGAGCATCTCAAAGGGAGGGGCTGTAGACCACCTCACGATAGGGATTGTTTTGGGGAGCCACAGGGGTGCAATTCAGAGTCCCCCAAATCCCCCCTCCCTCCAGGTGCCGATAGAGCAATGGGGGATTATGGGGTGGGGGTTTCTTGGCCTCCTCCCCAAATTCAGAGCCTCCCCCGGAAGGGACCGAAGCTCAACTCCGGCGTGACTTTGAAAGCCTCACATTTGAGATTTGGGGAGAAAACGTGAAGTCTTTGAAGAAGGAAAAATACTTTGGCCAAAATGCAGCTTTTTCCTTGTGTGGATTCAGGTCTGAAAATGCCTCAGTTTCCCTCTTTCGCTTTTGCTTTCCCTCCCCTTCCTCTTTCCATGCAGCCGACTTCGACCCAGCCACTGGGGGGAGGGAAGAGGGGCCCGGCTGCGACACCCCACCTCGGCTACAATCGGGAAAGCGGGGGTCCCTCTCCGCCCTCCTGCGGGGGAAGTGGGGAGGGAAGGGGGAGGAAACCACGCAGAGATCGAGGCTGTTGCCGGCTCTCGTCACTCTTACCCTCGACCCGTTTCCCAAAGTCACGTCTGGAGACCCAGCAGCTTTCTTCCCCCCTCCCCCACGGAGCATCTGTGGTGCTTCCCAACCATATCCTTCCCCCAGCCCCTCTCCTCCCCCCTCTGAGCCCCCTCCTTACCGGGGATCTCCTTCCCCCCTTCACTTCCGGGGATCCGGGCCAGCGCCCCCGCCAGCAGCAGCAGCATCAGCATCAGGGGGAGCCCATGGACGCCGCCCCACAAGCGCCCCCAGCGAGACCAGAGACAGAGACGCGGAGGCTCCCAGCCCCAGAGGCGGAATCGATGGGTCTGGCTTGGGAGGGGGGGAGAGGCGTTTTCCTCGAATTTCGGAACTGGGAGGGCCCAGAGGAAGCAGGAGGACCAATCGGAAGTCTCCCTTCTGCAGCGTCATCGGTCTCCGGGCAGGGTCTCCTTTGATTGCACCCGATAGAGGAGATAGTTCGGCGCAGGGGGAGAACCGGAGAAGTGGAGAAGGGGGGGGATTTTATGGGGAGAGGAATCAGCCCTGGGACCCCCTCCCAAGAATCGACCCTCTTGAGGTCAGATCCGTTCCTCTGGGTGGGACTGGGAGGGGATATTTTGCCCGAAGAAGAACAAAAATCCATATCCATGGACGGGATGTATAAGAGGATCCGCGCAGGTTTCCTCCCTTGTGAAAGATCTCAATACTATTTTAAGAAGGATGGGTAGATGGATGGACGGATGGATGGATGGATGGATGGACAGCATATTAAACCAAACATTAAATTTATAATTTATAAAATAACCCGGAAATTATGTGGACTTCAGTAATTCTATATACCATCAAGTATAGGATTACAGCCTTAAGCATTAAAGTCTGAAAACCTTTCCTCCCCCCCCCCGCCAAACTATCCCAAAAACCAGACATTCTCTTTTTTAATGTTTCACTACATCCATGGAAACCATTTTTTCTGGGACATTCGGGTTGTGGTCAGTTCCGCAAAGGCGGGTCAGGCAGATCCTCAGTTCCCGATTCTGCTCCAAAGGGCTTTGGGGGTCCAGAGGGGGCCTGAATCCTTCCAAAGGAATTGGGGGGTCTGGAAGGGTCAAACTCCCCCCTGGCCCAGCACCAGTCCCGCAAGCCAGAGCCGGGTCCACCCCCCCCCCGCGCAGCTGAAGGAGGCTGCACCACAGTTGTGTATACACAGCCAGTCGCCCAAAGTGGGTCCCAGATCCAGGCAGCGTCTGTGGGGGGGGGCTCCATCGCTCGCCTGATCAAAGCAGAACTCCTGGACTCTTTTCGTGTTTCCCCAGAAAGATTTTGGTTTTCTCTGTGTTCCTCCTGCCACCCCAGCCTCAACACTCCCCCCCCCCACAGAGGAACTTTGTTTGTTTCCACAACCCCCGACAGCTGAAGGAGTGCTGGAGTTTCGCTCCCCCCCCCGCCCCCGGCCTGAACCGCTGGGCTCCTCCGAAGCGGAACCGAGGACCTGGCCTTGATCCAGCAGGCAACAAGCTCGGATTCTTCCCCAGGGCAGCTCCGGGACTGTCCTGCTCTGCCCCACGGCTGACTCTCCAGCTGGGGCAGCCCCCCGAAGATCCTCCGCCCTCCCGATCCCCGAGGAGACCCCGGACAGCCCAGGGAACAAACCGAGGGAGGGTTGGACAAACGTCCCCGGAAGCCCAAAGGTCCCGAAGACTCCGATTCTCGATTCTCCTCCTTCACACGTTACGGGGAAACTCGGCTCTTGGGGTGTGTGTGTGTGTGTGTGGAAGAGGTTGAAAGGGCTCTGATGCCGGGAAAGGTGGAAGGAAAGAGAGGCAAAGGATGAGAAGCAGGGAGGGGCTGGGGCTCAGTTGGAGTGGGGGGAGGGGGATGCTGAGGAGGACCTGGAGGAGGGGGGTGGGCACAGGTCTACCCAGAGTCACGTCTGGAGACCCGACAGCTTTCTTCCCCCCTCCCCCACGAGCATCTGGGGTGCTTCCCAACCATATCCTTCCCCCAGCCCCTCTCCTCCCCCCATGAGCCCCCTCCTTACCGGGGGTCTCTTTCCGCCCTTCACTTCCGGGGATCTGGGCCAGCGCTCCCACCAGCAGCAGCAGCATCAGGGGGAGCCCAGCGGAGCCCATGGACGCCGCCCCACAAGCGCCCCCAGAGAGAGAAGAGACAGAGACGCGGAGGCTCCCAGCCCCAGAGGCGGAATCGGGGGGTCTGGATTGGGGGGGGAGGAGGAGTTTCCCTCGAACTTCGGAACTGGGAGGGCGCAGGAAAGCGGACGGACCAATGGGATTTCTCCCTTCCGCAGCGTCATCGGTCTCCGGGCAGAGCCTCCCTTAACTTCGCACGATAGAGGAGATAGTTCGGAGGAGAGACAAGCGGAGAAAGTGGGAGGGGGATCCTTTCAGTCCTGGGGGGGGGGGCTGTAACGTCGGGAGGGGGCTGTTTCATGCCAGCTCCGGAGGGGAGTGTGGATTTCCCTTTGCGCCCCCCCACCGCACGATTCTCAACCAGTCTTCCTTTCTCTGTGGGCCTGGAGGGGTAGACTAGATGCCCTTTTGGTTCCCACAGGGCCTAGAGGGAGCCCAGGCTGGAGCTGCTGAGACTCCGGAAGGGAAAAGTGGAGCCAGAGCTTGATGGATCCTTTTGAGTCCCCCCCCCCCGCTCAGTATGGAAGGAGGAAGCCCCCAGCATTAGATGAGAAGAGGGGAGGGGCAGCCCCACAGCCAGCCAGGACTTGGGAGGGTCACCTAGACCAGTGTTTCCCAAACTTGACAATTTTAAGGCATGTGGACTTCAACTCCCAGAATTCCACAGCCAGCATTGCTGGCTGTGGAATTCTGGGAGTTGAAGTCCACATGCCTTAAAATTGTCAACTTTGGGAAACACTGACCTAGTCCAGTGGTTCTTAACCTTTTTGAACGAATCGCCCCCTTGAGCCAATGAGGAAGTTGTCATCGCCCCCTCCCCCAACATAACCTCTCAATCACAACATAGGAAATAATTCTTCAATTTATGCAAACCCTTTTTTTGTTTTCTTTAAAATTGTCATCAGGACATATCGATGCAAATCATTTATTTCCAGTCTTTTCCCCATATCTCCCATATTCTGGCCAATGGCGTGCCACTGAATGGGTAGAGGCTGCTGTGCAATGCGCATGAAGATAAGCGATGCGTCTTCACATATGTACGGCATTCTGTACTGAAGCTAGCTGGAGGAACATTTGAAAACACAATTCAATCCACTAATAGCGAGCGATCTGATGTTTTTTACGACAGATATACAGCAATTCAGTGTACGGAAAAAGTCTCAAAAGTGTCCCCCAAACTTCTCGCTCCATCGCCCCCATATCACCCCCTTTTCGTTCCTTCACCCCCCTGAAAAATGAAATCGCCTCCTGGGGGGCAATATCGCCCAGGTTAAGAACCACTGACCTAGACACCCACATAACCTGACGCACCTAGACGCACGCATGCACGCACACACGCGCACACACACACTCTCTCTCTCCAATCCGAAGAAAACCCTGAGCTAAACCAGGAAGAGAGGAAGAGAATCTGCATGATCCCAAGAATCTGCAAGAATCGGCCCCTTCCGATTTCCCTCCTCTCAGCCCCAAATGTGACGGGATCTCCCTCTTTCTTTCTGGGGTTCAGGATCCCCCTTTTTTTCTGGCAATGCAGAAAAAAATTTTAACCTTCTTTTTAATACATTTTTTATTTATTTATGGGTTATAATTTGCACCACCCAGAGCTCCTCTTTTTTAAAAAACAAGTTTTATTAATTTTTATTAATTTATTAATTTTTCAATTTTTACATCCAAGTAATTAGAAAGAAATGTAATGATTGGGTAATCAAAAATCCAATGGTAGAATCATTCATATATATCTCAGGTTACCTCCTTAAAAGTTCCCTCTCTATTTCCCTTAATTTTTATATCATATTCAAATTAATACATTTCTAGATAGAGCTCAATCAATTAATACAATTATCAGTAAAATTTTATTTATACATATCCAAATCCTGTTTTTTAAGTTTTACTTAATTCCAATTACCATATTCCAATTTGGCCATTAATAACCGTAATAATTAAACTTCGGGTAACCTCAATTTCCCTCATTCCATTACCAAATAATTATCGTATCTAGAATACGTATATTATTCCGAAAATTAAATTCTTACTTTATTTCACAACTATATTCTATTTCTCGTCCTAATAGCTCCTCATTTGCTTATAAAATACCTTTCAGTGTCACAAACCCATTTCCATATTACAATTCAAAACTATAATCTGAGAATTAATTTTCATTCTCATTATAAATCTAGGTCCTAACTATTAAATGAATCAATATCTCTAAAAATCTCCTTAACCCATTAAGTAGAGTTTTAAGCTATTCCATCATCAATCAAGAAGGGAAGGAGAAGAAGAGACTTTCAACCTTATTTTAATACATTTATTTATTTGTGGGTTATAATTTACACCACCCAGAACTCCTCTTTGAGGGAGAGGGTCAATTTAGAAATATCAATAAATGACAATAATAAATGAATAAATTTCATAGGCCTGAGAGCACAGAATAAATCAGGGGCAGATCTTTATCCGGGAGAGTCCTAATAAACTTTAATTTAATCCTAATAAATAATAAATGAAATGAAAGCGGTGGGGGGGAGGGGTGTCCCAGCTTTGCCCCCCCTCATGGAACTCTCTTTCCCACACTCACCTCCCCAGCCAACCACAGAAAGTCTCTGGGCAACCTCGTAGTTGGGCCGACAGAAGTAATCCACTTGGGCCTTTGCGTCCTGCAGGATGCCCTCATCTCTGTTGAAATTACTACAAATCTGACACCTTTTCTTTCCTTTGTCCACAACAAAATACTTAATATTTTACATGACTATAAATCTCCTCCCATTTGAATGCGTTCTGATTTATAGAGAACTACTAGGCCTCCCCATAACTTGACAGGAACCTCACATAGTCCTTTAAGTGTTTGGGTGGACCTCTGGCCCACTCTGATCTTCTTAGAACAGGTGTGCTTGCCTGATCAGCCAGATCCCCTGCCAGGCTCGTCAGACCAGGACTTTGATGCCCCCTATATTCAGGTGACCCTCCATCATGCTGACTGGCCGGATCCTGTAAACCCAGACCAGAGTTCCTTGGTGAGGTGGAATTCCCCACGTCCACTATGGATTCGGAGGAAGAGTGATGGAGATGAAGCTGCTGTGGGTTCAAAGCAGGGAGAGATTTGGGTGTCTGGAGGGACAGGCAGGCCCGGAGTGCCTGGGGTCAGTCTAGATGGTCTCCATCCCTCCCTCCCAAGAAAGGGAGGCCCTGAAAAGAAAGCCGGAGGGGTCTCTGTAGGAGAAGCTCCAGGCTGTCATTCTCCTCCTCCCCCCAATCTAAAACTTTGAGCCTCCATTTTTCAGAGGTTGCAAGAAAGACAGAAATTCATCAGCTACTGAAAAAAAAAAAAACATTCTTTCCCATCAGGAATCAAGAAGGATTAATTCATGAGTGCTGAAGAAAAAGAGAGACACACACAAAATTAGAATATAAACCTTCAGTGTAAATAACATATTATTCTTATAGCCCCCCCAGGAAGTCCCACACTGCAGGGGGGTGGTTGATAGGCAGGGACACAGTGAGGGAGAATTGCCCCCCCCCTTTCAGGGAAGAAAAGGATGCAAAGGACCAGCGATTCATCTTTTGGGGGTTGATGGAATTTTCTCTAATTGATTTAATTAAGGAGAAGGCCTAATTAATCAAGAGAAGGCCCCCCCCCTAGATGTTTCAAAGAAGATGGGGCCAGGATGGAACATGGCAGCAAAGCCGGGTGTCACTTTGCCAGGAATTGTGTGAAATGTCACAAGGAGACTTCCCTTCCCTTTTGCAATTTCCCAAAACTTGGAAACATCCTGGGCCATATTTTAGTGTTTCTGTGTGTGTTTGCTTTTGATTGCAATGCATTTGCAGGTCTCTGTAGGGAAAATCTGCCTATAATTTCTAAAATCTGTTGCATCTGCAGCTAGGAGGTTTTGTTCAGGCACATTTTATTTTAAAAAAGGAATAATTAACGAATGTTAAGGAAACATCTATCACCTGAGGACAAACTCACCTGCAGGAGGCTGGATGGGAGTTGCTGGAAGGAGAAAAAGAGCCAATCAGAACCCTTCATGGGTTGGAGGACTCAGGGGGTCCCCCTGCCCATGGATAGCCCATAATAGGTTGCAGGATGCTCACTTATACAGTAGACCCTCAAAGAACAGAATTTCCCAAGCAAATCTCCAAGAGGGCCTTCTTGCCATCTGCTAAGCTTGGTGAGAGGCCTCCCCTGGATGGTCCCCTCCCCACAATCTCTTATCCAGTGCCCCAGACTCACTGTTCATGCTCTTCAGGTAGAGGGAGAGCCCCATGACAAAGAAGATCAACCCGATCACAGCTGCCACGATCCCCGTCCAGAGTTTGCTCCTGGCAGAGTTGGAGGATCGGGGCTCTGGGGAAGGAGAAGGAGCCCCCACCCTGAGCAGGAGCATCAGGGCCAGCTTTTCCCCCCAGGAGGGTCCATCTCAGCTCTCCCCCATAGGGAGGGTCTCTCCCCCCTTCTCAGAGCAGGATGGGGTCCCCAGAGCAGGAGGGGAGGGAGGGGCTCACCCCACTGGATGGTGATGGGGGCCTTCAGGCTGGCATGCTCCACCTGGCAGGTGTAGACGTCTCCCCGCTGGGGCTGGGTCTCCAGCATCACCTGGAGCTGGTAGGTCCAGTCTCCATTCTGGAGCTCCTCCCCGAAGGCCATGCCCTCCTTCTCTGGCTGCCCGTTCTTCAGCCACTGGACCTCGATCCCCATGGGGTAGAAGCCCCTCGCGGTGCAGAGGAGGATGGTGTGGGGGGAAGCAGGGTCCAGCTTGGTGGAGGAGATGGAGACGGTGGGCTTGGCTGGAGGGGAGGATGAAGATGAGGCACAACCACAAACGTAAAGCCAAACAATAGCAATGCAGCTCACCATCTCACATTCCCCTGCAACTCAGACTAACCTGAGCACAACAAAGCCCCCACCCAAACAGAACACCCCCCCAACCAATCAGAGCACAGCCAACCCCCCATCCAATCAGAACACAGCCAACCCCCCATCCAATCAGAGCACAGCCAAGCTCCTAACCAATCAGAACACACCTCCATCCAATCAGAACACAGCCAAGCTCTCATCCAATCAGTTCATACCCCCACTGGCAATTAAAAGGAAGAAACAGCTAGGATCACACATTGCTCCTAGAAGCACGAAGCCGAAGACACCAGCCTGAAGATGATGAATGAGACACTTCCAATTTGACACGGGAGAAAACCCGAATAACAAAGACCTACATACAAACACCCGCGAAAAATGTAATATTTGGATGGATTTTCTGGAGGGAACTTTTTCTGGGCAGGAAAAACTTTGGACCTTGGGAAGAAAAGGAACATTATGTGACTGATGGGAAGGAGAGGGATGTAGTTTTTTCTCTTTGGATGTTTAATTGACATTGTGAAAAGCTTAAAAAAGTCTTATTTTGGTGCAGCCTTTGTTATCTTGTCACTTGCAGGAGAGGCAGGTGGGAGGGGGGATCAATCCAATGTATTTGGACCAGTTTAGTCTGGCAAGGAAGGTCCTGCTGGATTGTTCCTAGCAGAGGAAGGATTTCTCTCAGAACAATTGTCTGGGGCTTAACTGTGTGTGTGTGTGTGTGTGTGTGTGTGTGTGTGTGTGTGTGTGTGACTTGCTCTCTCAGGGGGAGGGGGAGTTCCTATACTTTTAATCTGTCCTTCTGGCCCCAAAAGGCCAGAGCTGGTTTCCAATTCCTTCCGTGCTGGGATTCTCTGCCCAAGAAAGTTCTGCATTCTGGAGGGGAATCTCTCCCGTCTGCTTCCTTCCCTGGGATCTTCAGCTGGAACCAGGACACCTTGTTGTGTAATCCCACCTTTTTTTAACTGTGATTTAAATTTTAACCTTATTTTTATTCATGGGTTACTGTTCTATCCTACACCACCCAGAGCCCCTCTTTGGGGGAGGGAGGGGGGGCGGTTTAGATACAAATGAAAATTTTTTGTGGATTTCAGAGGAGAGAATATATGTAAGGAGTGAATATTTCTCCCAGAGAATCTTAATAAGTGAAAGGAAGGGGGGGGGTCCCGGGATCCCCTCCCAAATGCCCCCTCCTCCACTCACATCTCCGGCCAACCACAGAATTTCCCTGGAAAACCCGGTAGTTGTATCGGCAGACGGAATCCGCTTCAGCCCTCTTGATCTGCAGATAGACCTTATCGTTGTTCCACTTGTCCACATCGGGCTGCCCCAACGGAGTGACGGCCACGAATTTCCCGAGGTCGCTGTCGAAGTAGTCGATCTCCTGCCGGTCGTAGATATACCGGTGCAGGAGTCGCACCCGCTGCGTCCCGTTGAAGAAATGGCACTCGGACTTCACTTGGGCCAAGAAATGGGCTGCAGGGAGGAGGAGGGCCATCAGGAGGGACTCTAGGGCCCATCGTTCCCAGCCGCTAGCAAAGGAGGGACCCATACGAGAAGCCGGGGGAGGTGGAGGCCTTCCGTGAGAGACTGGCGGAAGACGCCCCCTGGAGGAGAGAGGGGGAACTCTCTCAGTGCCAGCCGGAGGAGGACTTGTTTGGGGGGGGGGTCTGGAGGGGGGGAAAGAAAGAGGGGGAGGGGAGGAACTTCCTGCTGGACTCCGCCATCCTCCCCGGGTGGAAAAAGGCAGGCAGAAGCTCAACTGGTCGAGCAGATCTACTCTCTGCAGGGATCGTTGGATCTAAAGGGGGAGGAATTGGGGGGGGGGGCTGAAACTTTCTGGGATGGATGGAAAGTAATATCCATACCCCCACTCTCTCTCTTCCTTTGGGGGGGGCAGGGAATATGGGGAAGGGGGCAGAACGAGTGACACTCCTGAGGGGTCCCAGCCCTTCAACCGCCCACCTTCCCTGGGTCCCCCCAACTTATCTTTTACTCCCTAATCTTCAGCCCAACTCTCTGCCTTGGGATGATTTTCGAGATTCAGACTTGTTTCCTCTCCCCCTCCCCCAAAGGCCCCCTGCAGCCCCCCCAAGAGCATCTCAAAGGGAGGGTTTCCACCCCCCCTGACGATAGGGATTGTTTGGGGGAGCCATAGGGTGCAATTCAGAGTCCCCCAAATCCTCCTCTCTCACTTCCCCCTCCCTCCAGGTGCCGATAGAGCACTGGGGGATTATGGGGTGGGGGTTTCTTGGCCTCCTCCCCAAATTCACAGCCTCCCCCGGAAGGGACCGAAGCTCAACTCCGGCCTGACTTTGAAAGCCTCAAATTTGAGATTTGGGCATTAAAATTGAAGAAGCAGAAATACTTTGGCCAAAATGCAGCTTTTTCCTTGTGTGGATTCAGGTCTGAAAATGCCTCAGTTTCCCTCTTTCGCTTTCGCTTTCCGTCCCTTTCCTCTTTCCATGCAGCCGACTCCGACCCAGCCACTTGGGGGGGGGGGCGAGAGAGGGGCCCGGCTGCGACTCCCCACCTCGGCTACAATCGGGAAAGAGGGGGTCCTTCTCCGCCCTCCTGCGGGGGAAGTGGGGAGGGAAGGGGGAGGAGACCACGCAGAGATCGAGGCTGTTGCCGGCTCCCGTCACTCTTACCCTCTGAAGACCAAACAGTTTTCTTCCCCCCTCCCTCCACGAGTCTCGGGGGTGCTTCCCAGCCCCCTCCTCCCTCCACTCAGCCCCCCCCTTACCGGGGGTCTCCTTCCCCCCTTCGCTTCCGGGGACTCGGGCCAGCGCCCCCACCACCAGCAGCATCAGGGGGAGCCTAGCGGAGCCCATGGATGCCGCCCAGAGACAAGAGGCAGAGACGCGGAAGCTCCCAGCCCCAGAGGCGGAATCGGCAGGTCTGGATTGAGGGAGGGGGCGTTTTCCTCGAACTTTGGAATTGGGAGGGCCCAGAAGAAGCAGGAGGACCAATCGGAATTCTCCCTTCCGCAGCGTCATCAATCTCCGGGCAGAGCCTCCCTTGACTTCGCACGATAGAGGAGATAGTTCGGAGGAGAGACAAGCGGAGAAAGTGGGAGGGGGATCCTTTCAGTCCTGGGGGGGGGGGCTGTAACGTCGGGAGGGGGCTGTTTCATGCCAGCTCCGGAGGGGAGTGTGGATTTCCCTTTGTGCCCCCCCCACCGCACGATTCTCAACCAGTCTTCCTTTCTCTGTGGGCCTGAGGGGTGGACTAGATGCCCTTTTGGTTCCCACCGGGCCTAGAGGGAGCCCAGGCTGGAGCTGCCGAGACTCCGGAAGGGAAAAGTGGAGCCAGAGCTTGATGGATCCTTTTGAGCTCCCCCCCCCGCTCAGTATGGAAGGAGGAAGCCCCCAGCATTAGATGAGAAGAGGGGAGGGGCAGCCCCACAGCCAGCCAGGACTTGGGAGGGTCACCTAGACCAGTGGTTCTTAACCTGGGCGATATTGCCCCCCAGGGGGCGATTTCATTTTTCAGGGGGGCGATGGAACGAGAAGGGGCGACACGGGGGCGAAGGAACAAAAAGGGGGCGATGTGGGGGCGATGGAGCGAGAAGTTTTGGGGACACTTTTGAGACTTTTTCGTACAGTGAATCGCTGCATATCTGTCGTACAAAAACATCAGATTGCTCGCTATTAGTGGATTGAATTGTGTTTTCAAATGTTCCTTCAGCTAGCTTCAGTACACAACGCCGCCGCCGTACATATGTGAATACGCATTGCTTATCTTCATGCGCGTTGTGGAGCAGCCTCTACCCATACAGTGGCGCGCCCTTGGCCAGAATATGGGAGATATGGGAAGAAGACTGGAAATAAATTATTTGCATCGATATGTTCTGATGACAATTTTAAAGAAAACAAAAAAAGTGTTTGCATAAATGGAAGAATTATTTCCTATGTTGTGATTGAGAGGTTATGTTGGGGGAGGGGGGCGATGACAACTTCCTCATTGGCTCAAGGGGGCGATTCGTTCAAAAAGGTTAAGAACCACTGACCTAGACATACAGATACCCTGACGCACCCAGACACATGCAGGCACGCACACACACACACACACACACACACACACACACACACACACACACTCCAATCCGAAGGAAACCCTCAGCTAAACCAGGAAGAGAGGAAGAGAATCTGCAAGATCCCTTGCTCAGAACGTCTGCAAGAATCGGCCCCTTCCGATTTCCGTCCCCTCAGCCCCAAATGTGACGGAATCTCCCTCTTTCTTTCTGGGGTTCAGGATCCCCCCCTTTTTTTGGCAAAGCAGCTCCGCATGAAGATCCTGGAATAAACTTTGGCCGTTTCTCCTCCGCTTGGATAACTTCGACGTCTATCTGCCATAATTTCAAGGTACTCTTTTTCAACAACCAAAGACCTACATATATATAATAACAATAAATTTGCTGCTCAAAGCACGAAGCTGAAAGCACCAGCCTGAAGATGACGAATGGGACTTCGTCGAAACGTCGCCAAGACACTTCCAATTTTACGTGGGAGAAAACCCGAACAACCAAAGACCTACATACAAATACCCTATTTTTTGTAGTATGGTGACAGAAATTGGTTGCAGTATTCCACCCGTGGTCTCACTTTTCTCTACAGTAGCCAAACCCAAATCCTGCAACCGTTCTTCATATGTTTTAGTCCCTAGGCCGCCTCGCCCACGCCCGCCGCCGCGCCTCCGCCTAGTCCAGTGTTTCTCAACCTTGACAATTTTAAGGCATGTGGACTTCAACTCCCAGAATTCCACAGCCAGCAATGCTGGCTGTGGAATTCTGGGAGTTGAAGTCCACATGCCTTAAGATTGTCAAGGTTGAGAAACACTGGACTAGTCCGTAGTCCGCATCCTCGCCCGGCGCTCCAGACGCGCAGGGATTAAAAGCAGCGAGCGGCGCCGCCTAGAGGGGAACGGGCGGAAGCGTCTGGCGCAGGCGCCTTTCGGAGCTGAAGCCAAAGTGCCGCCAGGACTGAATGCGGGCTTCGGGGACGGGGAAAGGCGGGAGGGGGAGGAGCCCCAAGTGGGAGGGGGAAGAGCCAGCCTGTGAGAAGTAAGGGCGGAAGACAAGCGCAGTTTCTAGGATTCCTTTTAGGCTGGGCAAGAGGGTCCTTTGGTTGGGGGGGGAGGAGGAAAAGAGATTTCTGCCCCTCTGAACCTCCCCCCCAAATAATTGCTTTGAAAGCAATCAAGGAAAACAGGCCACTCCCACCAATCCAAGCTGGGGCAGCTACCGGATATAAAGCAAATCGCACTCCTCACTAGCCCTGATCATGTTATCTAGTTGGGTCACGAAAGGTCTGCAAGAAAGGAACCAAGCGCAGAGGGCACAGAGGACTCCGACTCAATCTACAGATATTCTCCTCTGCTAGAAGCCATTGTCTTTTGAATGCCTGCCCCAGGACTACAGATCCCATCCTCATCAGCTGACCCTGAGACTTCTCCATTTCCCACAAGGTTCCCCCCCCTCCCCCAGTCTGGGACAAGATAAGATAAGGTAACCTTTATTGTCAACGGATCATGACAAGCATCTTCTCCTTCCGCCCGTCTGAACCCACACGAAATGTCAGTCTCATCTGAGGCCTTGAAAGCAATAAAACATGCCCCTCTGTGGGGATCCTGAAGCATTTCTCCACACCCTGAGAGTTAAGAAACCAGACACAGACACACAGTCGTTGCCAACACTTCCTGGGACACCACACAAATCCACCACCCAGTGGCTTTTCAGTCACCCCGCATGGACCTCCCCAGAGGAATGTTTCCAGTCATCTTTGAGGAAGAGGGAAAGATACAGATGAAAAGGGAAAAAAAATCATTGACTTCTGACTCTTTGGCACAGTAAAATAAATAACAACGTACAACCTCAATACAACAATAGACTAGACTAGACTAGACTAAGGTTAGGTTGGAATAGAACAGAAATAGAATATAGAATAGAATAGAATAGAAAAGAATAGAATAGAATTAAGATAAGGAATAGAATAGAACAGAACAGAATAGAATAGAATAGAATAGAATAGAATTAAGATAAGTAATAGAATAGAATAAAATAGAATAGAATGGAATAGAATAGAATAGAATTAAGATAAGGAAATAGAATAGAATAGAATAAGATAAGGAATAGAATAGAATAGAATAGAATAGAATAGAATAGAATTAAGATAAGGAATAGAATAGAATAGAATAGAATTAAGATAAGGAATAGAATAGAATAGAATAGAATAGAATAGAACAGAACAGAATAGAATAGAATAGAATTAAGATAAGGAATAGAATAGAATAGAATAGAATAGAATTAAAATAAGGAATAGAATAGAATAGAATAGAATAGAATAGAATTAAGATAAGTAATAGAATAGAATAAAATAGAATAGAATGGAATAGAATAGAATTAAGATAAGGAATAGAATAGAATAGAATTAAGATAAGGAATAGAATAGAATAGAATAGAATAGAATTAAGATAAGTAATAGAATAGAATAAAATAGAATAGAATGGAATAGAATAGAATAGAATTAAGATAAGGAATAGAATAGAATAGAATTAAGATAAGGAATAGAATAGAATAGAATAGAACAAAATAGAATAGAATAGAATTAAGATAAGGAATAGAATAGAATAGAATAGAATTAAGATAAGGAATAGAATAGAATAGAATAAAATAGAATAGAACAGAACAGAATAGAATAGAATAGAATTAAGATAAGGAATAGAATAGAATAGAATAGAATAGAATAGAATAGAATAGAATAGAATAGAATAGAATAGAATAGAATAAGATAAGTAATAGAATAGAATAGAATAGAATTAAGATAAGAATAGAATAGAATAGAATAGAATAGAACAGAACAGAATAGAATAGAATAGAATTAAGATAAGGAATAGAATAGAATAGAATAGAATTAAAATAAGGAATAGAATAGAATAGAATAGAATAGAATTAAGATAAGTAACAGAATAGAATAAAATAGAATAGAATGGAATAGAATAGAATAGAATTAAGATAAGGAATAGAATAGAATAGAATTAAGATAAGGAATAGAATAGAATAGAATAGAACAGAATAAATAGAATAGAATTAAGATAAGGAATAGAATAGAATAGAATAGAATTAAGATAAGGAATAGAATAGAATAGAATAGAATAGAACAGAACAGAATAGAATAGAATTAAGATAAGGAATAGAATAGAATAGAATAGAACAGAATAGAATAGAATAGAATAGAATAGAATTAAAATAAGGAATAGAATAGAATAGAACAGAACAGAATAGAATAGAATTAAGATAAGGAATAGAATAGAATAGAATAGAATAGAATAGAATAGAATAGAATAGAGCTGGAAGGGACCTTGGAGGTCTTCTAGTCCAGCCCCCTGTTCATGCAGGAGAACCTATTCCGACTCAGACAGGTGAGTGTCTAGCCTCTTCTTAAAAATCTCCAGTGATGGAGCGGGTTCTCTACCCCCCTTCGCTTCTGGGGATCCGGACCAGCATCAGGGGAAGCCCAGCAGAGCTGATGGATGCCGCCCCACCAGCGCCCTCAAAGAGTGTGGAGAAAGCATAGAAGGTATCCCAGCCCCAGAGACGGAACCCGGGAGGTCTGGATTGCGGAGGAGGGGGCGTTTTTCTCGGATTTCGGAATTGGGAGGGATCAAAAGAAGGGTCGCCAACTTCTGATAACGGAAATGGCAGAAGAAGAAGAAGAAGGAGAAGGAGAAGGAGAAGGAGAAGGAGAAGGAGAAGAAGAAGAAGAAGAAGAAGAAGAAGAAGAAGAAGAAGAAGAAGAAGGAAGAAGAAGAAGAAGAAGAAGAAGAAGAAGAAGAAGAAGAAGAAGAAGAAGAAGAAGAAGAAGAAGAAGAAGAAGAAGAAGAAGAAGAAGAAGAAGAAGAAGAAGAACCAATGGGAAGTCTCCCTTCTTCAGCGTCATCGGTCTCCGGGCAGAGCCTCCCTTGACTTCACCCTGTGGAGGCGAGAGTTCCACGCAGAGAGAGAAGCGGAGAAAGTGGGGGCGGGGGGCGGAGCCGGGGGGAGGATCTTTCTTCGTTGGAAAGACCCGGGGCTTCTGCTGGGTTCTGGCTTCGTGTTGAGGGGGGGGAGGGGAGGTCACCTGTGGGGCGATTAAGAAGGAAGTTCTCCCCCCTCCCCTTCAGGAGATGAACCCCCCCCCCCAGGAGCAGATCCGGGCAGATCACGGACGATGCTGGGCCGGCTGTGGGGGATTCAGCCTCTCGCCTGAGGCAGGAGGAAGGGAGGACACGAGGGGAGGGGGAGGACATCTGGACTGACCCTCCTGAACCCCCACCTTCACTTGGTCCCCCCTCCCACTTTTCTTCTTCCTCCTCATCCTCGGCCCAGCTACCTGGGTGATTTGGGCAGGGATCACACCTGCTTCCTATCCCCCTCCCCCAAAAGTCCCCCCCCCGCAACCCCACCCAAGAGCCTCTCAAAGGGAGGGTCTGCAGCCCCCTTCCCCAAAGGGGGAGTTTGGGGGAGCCAGTTTCGGAGAAGGAATTCAGAGCCCCTCCCCCCATCCTTCTCTCTGAGTTCCCCTCTCCTCCCGTTTGAGCAATGGGAGAATATGGGGGTGGGGGGCTTTCTCAATCTCCTCCCCAAATTCAGAATCTCCCCCCAAGAAGGACCGAAGCTCCACTCGTTGCCTCACATTGGAGATTCAGAAGAAAAACTGAAGTTTTTGAAGCTCCAAAAATGCAGCTTTCCTTGTATTTTGGGTTACGCGTGTAGATTCAGGGGTGGAAATGCCTCAGTTTCCCTCTTTCCCTTTCCGCCTCCTTCCTCTCTCTCTCTAGGCAACCGACTTTGGGGGGGCTTTGGAGCAAGAATAGGATAACAGAGTTAGAAGGGACCCTGTAGGTCATCTAGTCCACCCCCCCTCCCAAGCAGGAGACCCAGTTCTGACAGATGGCAGTCCAGGCTTTTTTTGAAAACTTACAGTACTTCTGAAGGCAACTTAATTGTTCCCACTATCAGAAAATTTCTCCCTTTATTTCTAGGTCGAATCTCTCCTTGGTCAGTTTCCATCCGTTATTCCTTGCCTGGCCTTCAGGTGCCTTGGAGAATAGCTTGACTCCCTCTTCTTTGGGGCAGCCCCTGAGATATTGGAACGCTGCTATCTTGTCCCCCCTCGTCCTTCTCTTTGTTAAACGAGACATCCCCAATTCCAGCAACCGTTCCTTATATGTTTTAGCCTCTAGTCCCCTAATCATCGTTGTTGCTCTTCTCTGCACTCTTTCTAGGGTTTCAGCATCTTTTTTACATCGTGGGGACCAAAACTGGATGCAGGATTTCAAGTGTGGCCTTACCAAGGCCTTGTAAAGTGGTATTACCACTTCCCGTGATCTGGAATCTATCCCTCTGTTAATGCAGCCTAGCACTGTGTTGTATGTTTCTGCCTCCAGTCCCCTCATCATCTTTGTTGCTCTTCTCTGCACTCTTTCTAGAGTCTCAACCTCTTTTATTTTTAACAGTGTGGAGACCAAGAGTGGTATTATTCATTACTTAATTTCGTGGTGAGTTACCCAATGACGATAAAGATATATTCTATTCAGTCAGTAGCTCACGCGATCTCGATGGGATCCCTTCTGTTAGAAACGTAGGGAAGGGCTCGCGCTGACCGATCGAGCGGTTGGCCATCATTCAAGTGGATTTCAGCTCCTCGGCTGCCGTTTCCTCTACCCGACGGAGTCCCGGAGCGCGGAGATCAGCGGGGCCTGCCGGAGATCAGCCCGGCTCTTCTCCCCGCGTCCTTTCCTCCCTCCGGTTGGGACCCTCGCGCTCCGTCCGGCTCCTCCGTTGCTCTGCAGGGCCGGCCCCGGAGGAGGAGCCAAGCCCGGCCGGGCGCTTCCTGCTCGGCCGCAGAAGAGGGGGCGGGGGTCCCTGGACTGCGCGGGGGAGGCGGGGAGGGTCTGGAAGAGCTCCGTCCGAGACCCTCCCAGCCACCCCGTCTGCCTGCTCCGCAGGCCGGACTGCCACTGCCGGTGCCCGAGCCCGCAGGACCCCCCGGCCCGGGTCCGCGACCCCCTATCCGCTCCCCCCGGGAGCAGGGAGGGAAGCGCCGCGGAAGGGCTAGGAAGCGGGGAAGTCGGGGGTCGGCCCGCGCCCCCTCCCCATCGGCCGGCCGAGCGGAGGCCCGGGGGCGACGGAGGACCCCGGGAGGGGCGCCTGCGGGGGGGGGGAGAAGCGGGAGCGGCCGGGGAGCAGCTCAGCCGCTCCCCTCGCTCTCCGGGCGCTCGAAGGGGAAGCCCCCTCCCCGGCCAAGGCCCGTCCGCGCTCGGCTTTGGGGCTCGCCGGGCTCCCGCCGTCCCGCGATCCAGCAAGGAAGCGAAGCCCCCTCCCCACGGCACGGCGTGCGACGTTGGCTGGATCGAGGTCTGCTTGTGGGAAGGGTCTCCAGGGTCAGGCGGAGGAAGGGGCCCCTGGGATGGGGGGCCAGCACCCCGGTGAGGAGGAAATGGACAGGGGCCCCTGGGCCCACCAGGGTGGGGGATTCTGGGAAAAAGGCCTCCGGAAAAAGAGCCTGGATGGCAAGGCAAGCCACCCACACATCGTGGATCACCGCTTAGGGGACTTCTGCCACCGGGAGGCCACGGGGCCACGGGAGCCGGGCAACTGCCGCCTGCACAGCCGGGCCCATGGGTGGCAGCAGCTGGAGAGATGCAGCAAGGCGCAGATGCTGGACCTGGTGCTGTTGGAGCAGGTGAGACCTGGTTTGGATCCTGGTTTGCTGAAGAAATGGCCCACTGTAACAAGGCCTAAAGTATAGTTTAAGAGGAGCAAGGCTGCTCCCAGATGAGATGGGGGACCAGCGTGACCTTTGACTTTCCCTGAACTACTTGTCCAAAGTCTCTTTTTTCTTTTTCTTTCTTTCTTCCTTCCCTCCCTCCTTCCCTCCCTTTCTCTTTCCTTCCTTCCTTCCCTTTCTTTTCTTTCTTATTTTCCTTCCTTCCTTCCACACTTCCTTTCTTTCTTTCCTCCCTCCCTCCCTTTCTCTTCCTTCCTTTCTTTCTTCCTTTCCTTCTTTCCTTCCATCCATCCTTCCTTCCTCTTTCTTTCTTTCTTTCTTTCCTTTTTCTTTCTTTTCTTTTCTTTCTTCCTTTCTTTCTTTCCTTTCTTTCCTCCCTCCCTCTTTCTCTTCCTTTCTTTCTTCCTTTCCTTCCTTCCATCCTTCCTTCCTTCCTCTTTCTCTTTCTCTCTTTCTTTTTTCTTTCTTCCCTTCCTTCCTCTTTCTTTCTTTCTTTCTTTCTTTCTTTCTCTTTTTTCTTTCTTTTCTTTTCTTTCTTCCCTTCCTTCCTTCCTTTCTTTTTCTTTTCATTCTTCTTTTCCTTCCTTCCTTCCTTCCTTCCTTCCTTCCTTCCTTCCTTCCTTCCTTCCTTCCTTCCTTCCATACTTCCTTTCTTTCTTTCCTCCCTCCCTCCCTTTCTCTTCCTTCCTTTCCTTCCTTCCATCCATCCTTCTTTTCTTTCTTTCTCTTTCTTTCTTTCTTTCTTTCTTTCTTTTTTCTTTTCTTTTCTTTCTTCCTTTCCTTCCTTCCTTTCTTTCTTTTCTTTCTTTCCTCCCTCCCTCTTTCTCTTCCTTCCTTCCTTTCTTCCTTTCCTTCCTTCCATCCTTCCTTCCTTCCTTCCTCTTTCTTTCTTTCTCTTTCTTTTTTCTTTCTTTTCTTTTCTTTCTTCCCTTCCTTCCTTCCTCTTTCCTTCTTTCTTTCTTTCTCTTTCTTTTTTCTTTCTTTTCCTTCCTTCCTTCCTTCCTTCCTTCCTTCCTTCCTTCCTTCCTTCCTTCCTTCCTTCCTTTCTTTCTTTCTTTCTTTCTTTCTTTCTTTCTTTCTTTCTTTCTTTCTTTCTTTCTTTCTTTCTTTCTTTCTTCTTTCAGGGCTCTGAGTCATTCCTGGAGGCTGCCACTGATTCCTCCCCCTTGGAGAAGGATCTCTCCCACCCCCGCAGGAAGCCTCTCTTGGTGGGCATCAAACACGAGGAACCTCTGCTGGACCCCCCCCCCATTGGGTAAGCAAAGGATCCTGAGCATGAATTGAAGAGCTGCAGAATGCCCTCCTTCTCCTCCTCAGGGTGTTTCTTGAGGGCCTCATCTCCCCCACTTCTTCAAGGCCTGCCTGGTTCTCCCCCTTGCAGGCAACGCAGCCATGGGCCTGGAAGTGGCTGAAATGTTTCTCCATCCAGAAGGGACAGAAACAGCAGCTGCACCTTCAGTTCAGGTAGGAGCAAAGGTCGGGGGGGGGGGAGGACGACATAGAGACTTCTGACATGTTTTGGGGGCTCTGGAGCATCCCCTCTTCCTTCACTGAGAGGCTTCTGGACAAAATCTCCCTCTTGGGCGACTTGCTGGGTTGAGGCAGACTCAGGTTTAAAGTTCTTTCCGTGTTTTTCCGGCCCTGCTTTTTTTTCAGACTCCCCAAATATAAAATTTATTGATTTAATTTTAAGAAAATTTATTTGACTGCCCAGCTCATTCTCAGGGACTCCAGGCAGCTTGGAGTAATCTGCTGAGCAACCGAAGTAATGGAATAAATTAAACAATAAATAGTGCATCGATAAAATCTCTTAAAATATAAAAAGAGAAAGGGGCAGCTGGAATATGTGACTTCTGATGATCCATGATGAAAGGAAACACCAGCCAGGACTTTTGGGGGTCACCTTGTGTGGGACCTTCCCCACGAACTGACATGACTCCTCCTCCCGTCATGATGTCACCTGGCCCTGCTTTCATCGTCCACGGGATGGGGTGGGGGAGGGGCTAGTCATCCTCCACAGCCACCATTCTGGATCAAGTGGCGTTGCTGGAGACAGATCCAGAGGGGATCCCAAGCATCCTCAAAAGCCCTACAGGTGTGTAGAAGAGGTGATGATGCCCCCCCCCAGCGCCATGTGCATCACCCACTTGCGAGGCCAAAGAGAACAGAGAACATGGAGTACCAGGGCTGGAAGTGAGAAAGGCCTGGACAGCCTCACCCTTAAATCCCAGACGGCCTGTCCCACATGAAAGACCCCAACCGAGGCATCTCCTTTTTCCAGAGCCCCGTGTCCTTTGAGGAGGTGGCCGTGTATTTCACCAATGAGGAGTGGGCCCTCTTGGCCGCTGGCCAGAAAGCTCTCCACCGAGAAGTCATGCTGGAGAACTCGCGCAACGTGGCGTTCTTCGGTAAGGCCTCTTCTCGGTTCAGGGCGCCAGAATTTAGGGATGGGTGAGAACCTGGATTGCAAGCCTTTGGCACCTCTTGTGCTTGGACCCCCAAGAGAGGCAGCAAATCTTCCAGCTAGAAATGGAGGTTGCAGCTGGGGGACAGAAAATGTCTCTCCTGCCGAGATGCTTCCTGCATTTCGTGCTCCATTCCTTCGTGGCTGGGGGTTCCAGGAGGCCTTCCGTCTGATCCAGGCTGATCTTTTTAGGCCTCCTCGGGGTCTCCTTAGGCTGAGGTTGAGGGTCAAGGCAACCCTGACTCCATCTAGGAGAAACAGTGGTTTCTGAGGAACGTCTGTTTGTACCCGGATGCAATTCCCGGATCCACCCTTCCACGTGGGAGAACACAATTTTTCCTTCGTACCGAGAGAGTTCTCAGTTCCAAAACTGAGCCCAAAATTTCTGTTGTTAAGTGAGACATTTGTTAAGTGAGTTTTGCCCCATTTTACGACCTTTCCTGACATGGTTATTAAGTAAATAACTGCAGTTGTTAAATTAGTAATACGGTTGTTAAGTGAATGTGGCTCCTGCCCCCATGGACTTAGCCTGTCAGGAGGTCGCAAAAGGGAACCACATGATCCCAGGATACTGCAATGGTCATAACTGTGAGTCAGTTGCCAAGTGCCTGCAATTTTAATCACGTGACCTGCAATTTGATCACGGATGCTGCAATGGTCGTAAGTGTGAAAAATGGTCAGTGCCGTCATAACTTCAAATGGCTACTAAATGAACTGTTTTACATTGAGGACTCCTATATTTGTAAGAATTTTCCACAATGATGTCATAAGCTCCGACAGAAGAGAATCTCGGTAGCTCAGGGTTGAACCGTGGAGTCCTCGGTGTGCTACTTTGATGCTGTGTGGTTGTAACATCTGTTGGCTGTTCCAGAGATACTTTTGACAATGTTACTCTTTTCATAGCTAGTATTGGATGTGCTGTGGTTGGTTGAGTGGGCGGGCACTTTGTGATAAAGTTGTGTGGTTATATCCATTTTGCTGGGAAATGGCAGTCTGTGTCCTTTTTCTGGTGTTCTGGGTTGCTGCGGTGCATTTGTAATTATCTGAATAATATTTTAACATAGCAACTCTTGTGCAAGAATAGAATAGAGTTAGAAGGGACCTTAGAGGTCATCTAGTCCAACCCCCTGCTTAGGCAGGAAACCCTATACCATTTCAGACAAATGGTTGTCCAGTCTCTTCTTAAAAACGTCGTGTTGGAGGATTCACAACTTCTGGAGGCAGGTTGTTCCACTGGTTAATTGTTCTCACTGTCAGGAAATTTCTCCTTAGTTCTAGGTTGCTTCTCTCCTTGATTAGTTTCCATCTGTTGCTTCTTGTCCTGCGGCAAGGGGCTTTGGAGAACAGGTTGACTCCCTCTTCTTTGTGGCAATCCCTGAGATATTGGAAGACTGCTATCATGTCACCGCTGGTCCTTCTCTTCATCAGACTAGACATACCCAATTCCAATAACCATTTTAGCCCCTGATCATCTTTGTCACTCTTCTCTGCACTCTTTCGAGGTTGGGTTGTTACTCTGTGTTGCTTTGTGCCTGGAAGGAGAAAGTTATGGTGTCATTGTAATAGTCACATGAAGTGTATCATTTGTACACTATATGTGTCATTTGATTGAGACAACTAGCCACAAATCATCGTTTGTCTGGGAGAGAAGTGCGGCACTGCGAGGTCTGGATTCTCATCCCTCAAATGTGAAAAAGTCTGCAGGGACTCGGGGAGGGCAGGGGAGAGGGTGCATTCAGGCTGCGGATGGCCCACCTCTGCTCTCAATCAGATTTTTAACTGTTTTGATTCAAAACTCGCCTCTAGACAAGATGGCCGACAGACAGATAGAATGAATGAATGAATGAATCTACACCAGAGGCAAGAAAAGGGCTGACGGCATAATCTGCCTGTCAGGGAATGGCACCCCATTTGGTGTCCAAATGAAGTCAGAGACACGGACACAAATTTGTACCGTACTTTCCGGCGTATAAGACGACTTTCGCAAGTGTTAAAATCGGCGCCGAAGTCGGGGGTCGTCTTATACGTCGAGTTGTCTTATACGCTGGAAATAATGGTAGTTTCCAGCATATGACTTTCTAGGCATGCGACTCGGCGCCGAAGACAGGGGTCATCTTATACGCCGGGTCGCCTTATATGCCGGCATATATGGTAGTTTTATAGAAATAAACATATTTAATATCTACATTTACAGCAGACAAGATAGTCAGGCGCATCCCTACATCCTGAGGTAAATCACAGAACAGCAGACAGAAGAAAAAAAAGGTGGGGAAAAAGGGAAACTCCCCCTTCTCATGCAGCAACCAATCATAGCACAAATTGCCTCAGACAGGAGCCCACACTCTCCAACTAATCAACTACAACTGTGTGTCCTGGCCCTTTATCCACTTTACTGTTCCAGCTATTAATTTAAATATCTTAACACTGCCCATTTCCAACTTCCAAACTGAGCCCCTCTTGTTTATGGATACATAGTCCTTGATTTACAACCATTTATTTAGTGACCATTCAAAGTTACAACTGAAAAAAGGGGACTTATGACCGTTTTTCACACAACCGTTGCAGCATCTCCATAGTCATAGGATCAAAATTTGGACGCTGGACAACTGGCAGGTATTTCTGACAGCTACAGTGTCTCACGGTCATGTGATGCCCTTTTTGTGACCGTCTGACAGGCAAGTCCATGGGGAAGCCTGATTCACTTAATAACCGTGTTATTCACTTCACAACTGCAGTGATTCACTTAATTGTGGCAAGAAAGGTCATAAAATGGAACAAACCTCAACTCACTTAACAATTGTCTTGCTTAGGAACAGAAATGTTGGGCCCAGTTATGATCCTAAGTCGAGGACAGAGGTGCTGCAGATAGAGGGAGGAATGTGGAAGCAGGGCCAGAGAAACATGGCATTAACAGCTGATCTGAGATCTGTTAGGTTTGCCTTCTGACCAGGTTTCTATTTCTATATTTCTATAATTCTATATTTCTATTTCTCTCACTTTCACTTTCACTTTCTATCTGCCAGCAGGAGATGAAGGGAAAGGGGGCAGCAGCAACAACAGCAATGTCAGCAGGTGCAGGATGTCACCGGTGGTCCCCAGCCATCCTGGGATGAAGGAGTCATGGAGAAAGCAGAAAGAAGCCAAGGAGCCGAGGGGAAACCCAAATGAGAAGCCGAAGGAACCGCTCTCCCTGGGGGACAGTCCTCAGAAAGCACCATTGCAGCAAAGAAATGGCAGGAAGAGTGTCCCCAACCAAGTGGAACTCTGGCCAGGTCGGACAGAGCAGAAGCAGCACTGGTGCCCAGAGTGTGGGAAGAGCTTCCGTCAGAGCTCACACCTGTTGTCCCACCGGAGTATCCACACAGGCGAGCGACCGCACCAGTGCTGGGAGTGTGGGAAGAGCTTCCGTCAGCTGGCCTACCTTGCCTCGCACCGGAGGATCCACACAGGGGAGAAGCCCTTCCGCTGCCCCGAGTGTGGGAAGCACTTCAACCGGAGCACCAACCTGACCTGCCACCGGAGGAAGCACACAGGTGAGAAGCCTTTCCTCTGCCCCATCTGCAACAAGGGCTTCTGTGACAAGTCAGGCTTCAACCTCCACCAGCTGATCCACTCCAAGGACAAACCACACAAGTGCCTGACCTGCGGCAAGACCTTCATCCGGCGCTCGCAGATGACTTCTCACGAGGGGATCCACACAGGCGAGAGGCTCTTTTGCTGTCCCGAGTGTGGGAAAAGCTTCCACCGCAGCTCCAACCTCACCTCCCATCGGAGGATCCACATGGGGGAGAAACCCTACGGCTGCTCTGAGTGCGGAAAGAGCTTTTACGACAAGCAGCACCTTCCGCGGCACCAGAGGAGGCACACAGCGGAAAAGCCCTTCTCTTGTACTAAGTGTGGGAAGACCTTCAGCCAGAAGAGGAACCTGGTGAGACACCAAAAGCTCCACAGTGGACCAACACCGCCTCCGTCCTCGCAGTGGTCAAAGAGGTTCTGTAACAAACGGAAGCCACGGAGGCATCCAGACACTCACGGGAAGGAACGAGGACCCTTCATGTCCTGGAGTGTTGAGGTGGCATCTGACGGAGTCCTGGTCCTGCTTCCCTGCCAAGAATTCGCACATGGAGATCAGTATGTCACAATTTCTCAGATCAAATGACAGTTATTATTGCTCCATTAGTCTTTGGTTTGACAATTTCTCCTTTTTAAAAATCTCTTGCCAGTTAGAGCAGGGGGTTAGACTAGAAGACCTCAAAGGTCCCTTCCAGCTCTATTCTGACTGACTGATCATTTGTGCCTTAATTCTGTGCTTACAGTCCTGGCACGCTTGGCTGACAGCAGTGCTGAGCGTGGTTCTTTCAACTCAGCTGTAGATGTAAGAAGATTCATGCTGGAGAGATCAAGTACTCTCATATATTCTAATTCCCTCCCTTTCTCACATGTACTGGGTATCTATATCACTCAGGGTGGCGTGCAACACTCACAATTGGTATCAATGCAATTATAAACTGTAGAAAGGCCAAAAATGCAGACTTAAAAAATAATGTGAAATGGCCAAAGGAAGTCACAAAATCTGCAAGGCAGGTTGACAACACAAGAGGTTGTACAATTGGCACGTAACAACTGCCTTGCTTAGTACAGAAAATTCTGGTCCAAATTGTGGCCGTAAGTCAAGATCCGCCTGTACTTGGGTCAGATAATGGAGGTCATATCTCTGTCCTGGAGATCAATGAAGCCTCCAGTTAAGGGGAAAGGAAATTGCAAAGCCAGGAAGTGCAAACACAGAGCAAGTACTTTGCCTCTCTGGATCAGGCCCCCATCTTCCACTTGTGAGCAAAAGTGGAAAAAAAGTGGTGTCTTCCCACTATGTGAACTAGGCAGATATTTTTTGGGACAGCACAATATGCAGATCCTGACATGATAGCCTCGATGCAAGGGTTGGCGTTCTGTCAAGCTTCTCGTCTTGAGGACTCAGCGCCACACCCGGAGTCCCCCAGATGAACTCAGGGAGAGACCAGACCACCAGGGTGGGAATCCATTTCCAGAGTTGGAGATCAGGGATATTCGTCCCTTTTTCCATGCTGGAATGCTCCATGGTGGAATTCACTGGGTGATCCTGGGTTCGAGTCTTCCTCTCCCAATTGAAGATCACGCTAAAAAGCAGTACAGCTGCAATTGCTCCTAATCATTCTGATTAACCGTTTGTTTGTTTTTATGTGGAGTTTTTCCAGCCGTAAACATTTTGTATAATAAACAATTACATTCGCAAAATGGGCATTTTCAGTTCTTTTTTGTAATATTCTTCCAAACAGAACTGATCCTTTCCTCACAACAACTCCATGCTGGTGTCAAAACCATGGACCTCCCCAAACCGAGTTAATTATAGTCGATTCTTCTTATTTGCAGTAGCGAACATTCTGTAAAATTGCTAATAATGTGAATTAGCAACTTCTGAGACTTCACGTGTGAACGTGGGCATTGACTGATGTAAATATTTTGCCGCTCTGCATATCCACCAATCCCTGTGACGTCGCTGCAAGTATCGATTTTGCTATTACTGTAAAAATATTTTTTCCAAGTTTTTTATTAATTTTCTTATATTATATTTACATATTTGAAAAGTAGCGTGCCGGCTGAGCACAGTAATTCCTTTCTTTCCTTCCTTCCTTCCTTCTTTCTTTTCTTTTCTTTTATTTTCTTTCTCTGTCTCTTTCTTTGTCTTTCTGTCTCTCTCTCCTGTTTTTCTCTGTCTCTTTTTGTCTCTTTCTTTTTCTTTCTTTCTTTCTTTCTCTGGTCTCTCTGTCTTTCTTTCTCCCTCTCTTTCTCTCTTTTCTCCCTCTCCCTCTCTGTCTCTTTTTCTTTATCTCTTTTTCTTTCTTTCCTTTCTTTGTCTCTCGCTTTCTTTCCTTTCTTTCTCTGTCTCTCTGTCTCTTTTTTCCCTTTCTTCTCTCTCTCTCTCCCTCTCTCTCTCTCTGGTCAGTCACTAAACAAACAGTTGTAAGTCAAGGACTACCTGGAGCGTGACCTCGGAAGGATGGAAGGCTGAGTCAACCTTGAGCCAGTGAGATTTGAACTGCTGAACTGCTGGCAGCTGGCAGTCAGCAGAAGTAGCCTCCAATACTGTGTTCTAAGCACTGTGCCACCAATGCTGTTCATAGCCTTGATGGAAGATGTTGTTGGGGGAAAGAGTGGGGGAACTCCAAATCTGTGGGCTGTCTTTCCTGATTCCCCTCCCCCCCCACACTTAATACAAGTTCTGGCAAAATGACACCAGCTGTCTTCTGCCTACCAACATCACAACACTTAAATCAAGCACTGGAGAAGACAAACTGGGATACTTGATGGATGTAAAAAATCAGGAGGAATCTGGTTGTACCTGACTGACAAATTGTACTTGTAGGTCTTTAAACAAAATTGGTTCATGGGAAAGGGTACGATGAAAATCTCTTGAATTTTTGTGAAGTGTCCCACAAAGAAGGCGTCTGCCAGTCTCAATTAAGCCCTGAATCAACCATTACAAATTGGGAGTACATCCTGCTAACAGCAGGGTGGAAGCTTTCTTTTGCAGCCCCTCGGTGAACCTCAGCCCCGTTTGAGAAATCCCTGCTCCTTCATGGTTTTTTCCTCCCTGATCTCTCTCCACCTGGGCCCTGCTCATCAACCACCCCTCCTGTGAGGGTCTGCCTCGGGAGGGGTCCCACCATTTGCTTGCACATTTTCTCAAAAATGTTATTTATTTATTTCAAAGTTTCTGTATACAGTACTCGGTACTCATCATTTGGTTCTGGGAAATATGACAAATACTAAAAACAATGAATACCAAACAAACCACATGATTATTCCCTCTACATTGTGTTTTTATTCTCTGTAACCTATTTAGAGTCGCCATGAGTGAGTAGACAGCTATATAAATTTTCCAAAATAAATAAAATAAATTAGAGCATAACTTTTTGTTTTCAACAAAAAGGCTAGCGAGTCATGAGGTAATTGTCATTGACAAGTTCTAGCTTGCACATGAAGTACCAAACAAACAACAAGTACTGAGACTACATTTTCACATCAAAATGTGTTGAGTATCAAATTCAATGAGTTTGAAAGCAGTCTAGTACCAAGATACCGTTGTATTCTCATTTTCTTCCCCATCTCTTTTTTCCACAGCACTCATGAATTAATTGTTCTATTCCTGTGATCATGTGCAAAAATACATTTGTTTTGTTTTTGCTGCTTGCCAAATTTTCATCCTCCATTGTTTCCATCAGGGATGCAAAGCTGCATGATCCGACTGCAGCCTGGACCTTAGGACCTCATGGACACTGAGAGCTGCAAGGGTCCCCGGAGGTCTTAGGACCTCATGGACACTGAGAGCTGCAAGGGTCCACCCGCTGGTCCAAATGGCTGTCCATTCAGGGCTTGGAAGCCCCTTGTGATGCAGCTCCTTATTTGGATATCTCCTACATATCTTCCATCCACTGTTCTTCCCTTGGGAGCTATGGGAATAAATCCATCCTGTCTGGCTCCGACAGCTCTTTAAACCAGCCAATGTTATAATGTGTTGTATTGTGTCATTGTACCAAGAATTGTGTCAGCCCAAAAGGGTTATCACAAGATTGATGAAAGTACTGATGGGTTTGTTGGAAAGAAGGCACATCTGGAAAACAAGGACAGCTTCAAATTGTGTTGATCTTTTGAGAGCACAGCCAAGTTCAGTTCCCCTCAAATATTTAAAATAAACCAACACAGTCATTGTTTTTCTTTTATGAAATTATCTCTTTTAGCCTTGTGGTTCTTGCAGGATCAGGATGGATTTAGCATCCCTGGGCATGCTTGCAAACTTTCAATAGGAGGAAACTGAATATGCAGGAACTCTCATTTATTTTTCCATTTCCAGGGTTTTTACACTGCCCTGCTCGAGGGGACGCCTGGTTGTTTAGAGTCGACAAAATTGAGGCATATTGAATAAGTGCCTTTCAAGAAGTGCCTTTGGCTCTGCAACAGAGGCAGGCCCTCCCTCCATCTTCCATGTCCTGCAAAGGGACCTCACTTTGGGATTCTGCTTCCCCATTCAACAACTTTTGGGGGTTCGGGGGTGAAGGTTCATTCTTCAAGCTTGTGGGTTGGTTTTCGACCATTTCATTACCAGGCTAGGATACATCTTCAGCAGAGTTTAGGGGATGTCTGTGTCAGTGCTCTTCTGTTTATAAGGGCTTCAGGTATGGGTGTGTCAAGTGAGGGTCTTGTGATGGGTCAGGTATGAGTCGTCAACGAGAGACTTGTGATGGGTCTTGTGATGGGGAGGTTACTTCAGGTCAGGGTGTTTGGACAGTGAACTGCTAGTGGTGGGGAGGAGGCTTGCGTGGGATGGTTGAGGGTTGATGCTGTCTCTGGTTGGCTGTGCGGTTGATTTGGATTCTGCGGACTTAGTAGGCAGTTTTGTAGGTTGATGTGTCTGTTGATGGAATTGCTTGTGGAGTGCCAGGTTTCGATGAACTCCCTAGCGTACCAGGTGGTAATGTGGCTGATGGTTTTGGTGTTGCTCCAATCGAACTGATGCTGTTGGGGGTCAGTGTGGGTAGAGATTAAGGATTTGGGATCATGACATTTGACTGCCAGCTGGTGTTCATGGATCCTGGTTTTTAACTGATGTGATGTTTTTCTCACGTAGAATTGGTTGCAATAGTTACAGTTGATCTTGGGGGTTCAGCAGTCTTTCCTCCTGATCAGGCAAAATCTGCATTAACTTGGTCACTCCAGGCCCTGCCTCCTGGAAGAGGTCGAGAAATGGCTTTCCCCACCTGAGAGGCTTTAAGCATGGGTTGGACTCCAATGCCCATGGCTGACTGGGGAATTATGGGACCCCAACTGGCATGGCTGACTGAGGCATTACGGGACTCCCAGAATTCCCTGATCAAACATGGGAGTCAGAGTCCACCTGTTATGTATTGAGTTTGAACTGAGGAACAGGTGCATGGAGCTGCACTGAAACCATTAGCAGGCCAGTCGCCTGCTAACCCAGACAGGCTGTCTAGAAGTTAGTTAGTATGTATTTAAGCAGGAAAATACGTTGCATTCATTGGCTGACACCGCCCCTTGCTGAATGTATAAATAGGGGCGGAGCCATCTTGGTTTGAGTTCTGTTTAGCTGAAATAAAGAAATACCTGTTCATTACTCCTGTCTCATTTTCAATGCCTACCAATGCAAGAAACAGAACACCACCCATCTTGAAGTCGCTCAGGCAGAGAATATTGTCTTAGACCAGTGGTTCTCAACCTTTTTAATGCCGCGACCCCCAACCGGTCGTAAGTCGAGGACTACCCAACCGGCCGTAAGTCGAATACTACCCAACCGGTCGTAAGTCGAAGACATTCCCTGCCCGGGAGCGCCGTGCATGCGTGGTGCCGCCCCCTGCGCCAGCTGAGGCGTAGCTGGCAAGCGGCAGAGATGAAGCAGGCCGACCACCAGCTGGGCCACCAGCTGGCTCAGCCCAAGGGAGGTAAGGCACCCGCAGGCCCCACGCATGCCAGCAACCCTCCCTGAGCCTGCCGGCCTCCCACCTCCCACCCCTGGCCCTCTTTTACTTACATTTTTAGTAGTTGCTCAGCAGGGAGGGGTGGAAACTTCCAGACAGCTCGCCTTCGCTGCAGACAACTTGCAGCACCGTTTGCAGAATGGGACTTTTGGCGGGCTCAGCAGGGCAGAGACAGCCTGGACCATTCCTATTGGCTTTGGAAAGCCAATAGAATTAGACTCTGTTCAAGAGAGTCTATTCTATTGGCTTTCAAAAGCCAGTAGAATAAAAGGGAGTAGCACAGCTAAGGAAAAGGGGAAAAAAATGGCGGACTGCGTTTGGCGACCCCCGTGAAATGGTGTTCGACTCCAAATGGGGTTGTCACCCACAGGTTGAGAACCACTGTCTTAGATGCTGTCTTCCTCAGGTAGCGATAGGGTTGGGGAGCTGCCAATCATTGCAGCACAAGTAGGCTCCTCCTCCCTCTATATATGCTGGTGCAGGGCAGGGCAGAGGCCAGTGAGATGGGAAGGTTTATTAACCTAGGGGGCGGCACATGGGTGCTGCCGCGCAGGGGGCGCCGCCGCGCATGAGTGCCGCACAGGGGGGCCGCCACGCATGCGTGCCGCGCAGGGGCACCGCCGCGCATGCGCACCGCCTGCTTATGACCGGGGTCGCCGTATAAAAAGGTTGAGAACCACTGATTTAAAGTTACCTCATGTGGCATATGCGCTGTATATATAATGCCATATTTGTTTTCTGAGGTTTTCGCGGGTGTTTGTATGTAGGTCTTTGGTTGTTCGGGTTTTCTCCTGCGTAATATTGTCTCTATAAGGTTCCCTGCTGTTTTCTTTACCTCAGGTTACCTCAGCAATATAATAGAGATTACCTGAAACGAAGGCCTGAGGAGGGGAGGAAGAATAATTGAATTCTTTGGTGAAGTAAAATTGGCCCGAAAATTGACCCAGGTGCTCAGAATTAAAAAAACCGGAGGGCAACTAGGGGTGAGGCAGGAACCATTTGGACAAAGGAGTTTTTATTGTAGGTTACCTCTTTATTAGTCAGTTTCTGAGGCTGGGCCAAAATCTAAAAAGGTGCCATCTTGAGTTTTTTTAACCGCCGAGAGGTTTACCTGCCAGTTTTTATCTCAGCAATATAATAGTGAGAGATTACTTCAAACGGAGGCCCAAGAAGGGCAGTCAGAATAATATTCAACTCTTTCGTGAGTTAAAGTTTTCCCGAAAATTGACCTAGGCGCCCAGGAGCGCGGAAGAAGCAAAGAGTCTGAATAATAATGTTCAAATTATTACTTTTATTAGTCTGTTTCCCAGGCTGGGCTGAGATGAGGAAAGCCAAAATGGCAACTTGCCAGCCACCATCTTGATTTTTTTGACCGCCGAGAGGGATAGAAGATTCTCGCGTAGCCTTCATTGGGGGAAGGTGGGCATAAAAGGATCCCGGCGCCGGGGACCGCGAGAGGCCCCTTATTCGCGTGTTGGCGCTTTCCGAAGACTTGGGAGGCGGAGCGAGAAGACGTTGAATGACTGACGGAGGAATTCTGGGAGTTGAAGTCCCAGAAAGCGGTTGTGTGTGTGGGGGGGGGTTGGAGGCGGAAGGCAGCGCGCGGGCGTCGGCGGAGGGGTGGGACTTAAAGGCTGCTCCGCTCCGTCTTCCCCGTCGGCAGCGGGGTAGCCGCGCGCGCCCTCTTGTGGCCGGAGTTGGGAGCGGGAGCGCGCAACGGCGGCGGCGATGGCGGCTCCGGGATTGGCGGTAGCGGAGGAGGTTTCCACGGAGCGGCTGGCGGAGGTGGAGGCCCTGCTGGCGCAGCGGGTATCGGAGCCGGTGCGGGCGCGCTGGCGCTGGGAGATCAACCTGGGCCAGCCCAACCTGCAGCGGTTCCGGGCGCAGCTGAGCGAGGCCCGGCGGGGCAGGGAGACCCTGCTGGCCCGGGACGCGGCGCTCTCGGAGGCGGAGCAGCAACGGCTCCAGGGCTTCCTAAGGCTGGAGATGGCGTTGCTCCGCTGGTTCCAGGCGCGCGGCGAGCGCGAGGCGGCCCGGCGGGCCCGGCGGAGGAAGCCCGGCGGCGGTGCGGGGAGAGCGGCCGCGTCTGCCGCGGGCGGCGAGGGATCTGCTGCGGCGCCGCCGGCCCGGGCGAAGGAGGAGGAGAAAGCGCCGAGCGAAGACAAAGAGCCATTGGGCCCGCCGCCGATGCCTTCCGAGCCAGCAGCCGCAGCCAGGACTACTTCGGTGGGGAAGGTGGCAGCTCTGCGGGAGGCGCTACTGAGCGTGGTGACCGAGCTGGAGGCGGCCGAGGGCCGGGGGCGGCCGATATGGGCGGCGCGGAAGCTGGAGACGGCCCTGGCGGCGTTCCTGGACGACCGGCTGTGGGAGAGCCTTCGGGAGCTGGGCTTGGCGGTGCGGAAGGAAGGGCGCGCTCGGGTCCGGCAGCTGCTAGCCCTGCGGGAGGTGCTGGAGGAGGAAGGTTGGGCCGAGAGCGCGGAGGCGCTGCGGAGGGAGCTGGAGGAGTTGAGGACTGGCCTGCAGGAGGTGCCGCTGGAGGAGCTGCAGCCGCTGCTGGAGAAGGCAGAGGCACTGCTGCGGAAGACTGACTGCTGGGAGGTGGCCTGCCTGGAGAAGGGCCTGTGGGCTGGACCGCTGGAGGAGGCCGAGGCGGCCCGGAGAGAAGCTGAAGCCCTGCGCCAGACCCTCCGGCAGGTCCCCTTGGGGCAGGGTGAGGCAGCCCTGCGGAGGGTTGGGCAGGAGGCACCGGTGAAGGAGGCGCATCTCCTGTGGGAGAAGGCAGCGGCCCTGGAGACGCAGGCCCTGGCCTTCTGGTCGGACACACTGAAGCAGGCGGAGGAGATGCTGGACCAGGTGGATGCCCTGAGGAGCGCTCTGCAGAACTCCTCTCTAAAGGAGGCCCTCTGGGAGAAGGTGGAGGAGCTGCGGGATGCCTTGCGGGAAACCACCAGGGAGAAGGTGGGCCTCCTGCCCTTGGACCTGTGGGGCAAGAGCCCGCGGGAGATGTGCAGCCGCCTCCACAAGCTCTGCCGGGATTGGCTGCAGCCGGAGAAGAAGACCAAGGCTCAGATGCTGGACCTGGTGATCCTGGAGCAGCTGCTGGCCGTGCTGCCTACAGAGATGGCCAGCTGGGTGCAGGAGTGTGGAGCAGAGACCAGCGCCCAGGCAGTGGCCCTGGCTGAAGGCTTTCTGCTGAGCCAGGCGGAGAAGAAACATCAGGAAGAGTTGCAGGTGAGGGGACATCCTCTGAAGCTATGCATTAATCGAGAGTATCTTTGAATTGAGCATTTTCTCCATTTTTTCCCCCCAGAATATGTATTTGGGGCACTTGCTCCATTGTTCCATCTTCATCAAGAGTCAACGGTTCTGCAAAGTTGAGAGATTTTAGCTGAAACCTTATTTCTCTTTTCGATCCTCCTGGTATTTCAGGTGCAAAAGCCATTTCTGGAGGCCATCCCCAGACATCCTAAAGGGAGGAAGGATCTGCCAGATGCCTCTCAAGAGCTGCCTTTCAGGGACATCCCCCAAGAAGATCCAAGTTGGGACACTTCAGGAGGTAAAGGGAGCCCTTCCAAGGGACCTGACAGTCTCAAGAAATGTCTTGTTGGTCTCGTGGTGTCTGAGTCCTTCACGTAATATTTTAAAAGTCTAGCACTATGTAGGTCCCATGCAGAAAATTAAATTATGCCCATGTTGTTTTTAGGATTGTCACCTTTTCCTGGTGGAACTGAAAGAGTGGCTGAACCTCCAGTTCAGGTAGGAGAGAAACATTTAAGGGATCATTTGGACTCCTCTTTCCCTCTGGGATTCAACAGCGTTACTGCTCTTTAAGCAGCCTGAAATGGAACGTGGCAGAATTGGTTAGGAGATCTCTTTCAAGTCATGCTCTTGTCAACTGGCACAGGGATCCAAGAGTAGTACATCACCCTGGAGGGTGGCTGGAGGATTTTCCCTCCATCTTTTTAAATTCTTTAATCTTGTCTTTTTTGTATAGATTGCATAGTTTGTTATCTGTAAACTACCCAGATTCACTTTAATACTAAAGATATATAATTTGGGTTAATAAATAAATCATACCAGACAAAAAAAATCAGAAAACAATATTCTAATCCAGAAACTATAAAAGAGAAAACCAACCCTCTCCGCCATCTAACACTGGCAGGGCAAGCTACTATATAAAAACAGAGAGAAAACCTCAGACTCACTTGTGTTGATGATGTTGTCTAGTCAGGTAATAAAATGTCTGCTAGCAAACCACCAAGCTCAGCTCAACACTGAGCTACATATATTCTTTTCTCTTAGATGATAATTTGTACGAAATCTTGGGGGAATTTGTTGAACAAAGGGTATGAGTTGTAAAGCCTTCCTGGACTACTAATGGAGAAAAGTTTTTTTTCTTTCCCTTTTCCAGGGTCTTGTATCCTTTGAGGAGGTGGCTGTGTGTTTCTCCAAGGAAGAGTGGATTCAGTTGGATCCCCGTCAAAAAGCCCTCCATGGGGAAGTCATGAGGGAGAACTTGAGGAATGTAGCCTCTCTAGGTAAGGGCACAGGCATGTAGAAAAGGCATTTTGTGGTCACATGAAACCAGCTCTTTGGCATAAACCCAACCACACTTTATATGTGGGAGAGGGAGAAGATCCATTCTACAAAAATTCTCCTCTGCTGGTTCCAAGACACCTTACACTGAAGCACAGAGTGGTTGAGGGACAGTGCTGAAGGCAGAAATGGGCCTATAAAGGGGTATGGGGACCACAGTGTCCTTTGTTGACTAATTCAAATTAATCCTTGTGATTGGACAGAGCAAGCTGGATATAGCAAATTATATGCCTAGTGAAGTCAGATGTAACTATGACGTTATAGGGCTGGATTATATAGTGTTTTTAATAGATCAAAGGGATACTTTCTTCCTAGGGCATTACTATTTTCTGCTGTGCAGAGCTCTACTTGCCTCTCAGGATCTTTTCTTGGTTGATAAAACATTCCTTGGTCTTTTTGGTGTTTTATGGCTGAGTTGAAAGTTTTAGTTTTCCTAGGAAAGTGGTTTTTTTGTAATGAAAGTAAAATCCAATTTGACACCCCCATAGTGACCAGTACTTTGTTTGTCTTGTAAACATGCATTGAGTTAGGGTTTTAGGGTTTTTTTTCTATTTGAAACCAAGAACTTGAATGTGTGGGAAAATGTATGTAGTGCAGAATAAAGAGAAAATCATGGATAGCAAGAGGCAAATATTATATTAATCCACTGTGCAGTATTGGTCTAGAACAGCGGCTCCCAACCTTTTCTGTACCCTGCACCCCTCGAATGCTTCTGATATATTCTCGCACCCCTTACAAAAGTTCGAAATAACGGCAATGAATTATGCATATATACTATAATTTTGAAAACCCAAGTTTTTGTACACCCTGGAATATCGTCTTGCACCCCCAGGAGGTGCGAACACCCCTGGTTGGGAACCGCTGGTCTAGAATGAATGGCTTTTAAAATTGTTTTTACTATCCATAAAATATAAATTTATATCCCATGCAATTTTATACAATATTATAACACTGTCAGGAATCTGCATCAGGTCACTCAATTTGATAAGCTTTAAGTCAGATTGTTTCATGTTGGTCAGAATAGCCTATAAAAATACTACAGAGGTTTTTGCAGTATTTGGGGGGGTTGAGATCCTCAATCATGTCATATGTTTTGGTGATTTATTTCCTTCTTTTAGTTTAAACACACTTATTTTCTTTTTCTCTGAAGATGCTGTTGGGCAAGAGAATGTGGGCTATAGGCAAATACTAGAAGCTCTCAGACGCAAAGAAAGAAGAGACCAAACTGAACTAAAAAATCATGAGAGAAACCAGTCAAAGGATGGGAGCAGAAAGTATTCCATTTTTCAGTGCAATGAAATTCAAGATGAAGCAGCCCCGCACATCCCTAAAGGAAAAAGGACAAAGTGTTTTGGGAAAAGTGTGAAAACATTTGGAGAAAATTTAGATTTAAAGGAACATGATCAAAGCCACGCTAAAGAAGAGGAGGATCAGGACAGGGAAGATGAAAAAAGTTACAGTTGGACTTTCATTCTTTCATTGCGTGATAGAATCAACATGGGGGAGAAACCCTACAAATGTAGAGAGTGTGGGAAGAACTTCAGGAGCAGCAGCCAGGTTACTTCCCATAGGAGGATCCATACGGGAGAGAAACCCTATAAATGCCTGGAGTGTGGGAAAAGCTTCAGCTGGAGCAATGACCTGACTTGCCATAAAAGGATGCACACGGGGGAAAAACTTTATAAGTGCTCTGAGTGTGGGAGGAGCTTCAGGAGGAACAGTCAGCTTGCTTATCATAAAAGACTCCATGCGGGAGAAAAACCGTACAAATGCATGGAGTGTGGAAAGAACTTCCTGTGGAGCTATCAGCTTACTTCCCACAAAATGATCCACACAGGGGAGAAACCCTATAAATGCCCTGAGTGTGGGAAGAGCTTCAGGAGGAGCAGTGAACTGACTTCCCACAGAAGGATCCACACCGGGGAGAAGCCTTATAAATGCATGGAGTGTGGGAGGGGTTTCAGAGGAAGCAGTGAACTGACCTCCCACAGGAGGGTCCATACGGGAGAAAAACCGTATAAATGCATAGAATGTGGGAGAACTTTCAGGAGGAACAGCCAGCTTGCTTATCATAAAAGACTCCACTCGGGAGAGAAACTGTACAAATGTATGGAATGTGGGAAGGACTTCTTCTGGAGCTATCAGCTTGCTTCGCATAAAATGATCCACACAGGAGAGAAGCCATATAAATGCATAGAGTGTGGGAAGAGCTTCAGAGGCAGTCGTGAGCTTTCTTGCCATAAAAGGATCCACACATTGCAAGAATTGCACAAATGTTTGGAATGTGGAAAGGCCTTTGGGAGCAGCAGTGAGCTCACTTCTCATAGAAAAATCCACCCAAGGGAGAGACCATACATATGTATGGAGTGTGGAAAAAGCTTCTCTTGGAGTTCTCAGCTTACTTCCCACAAAAGGACTCACTCGGATGAGAATCCATATAAATGCGTAGATTGTGGGAAGAGTTTCGGGGAAAGTAGTGAACTTACTTCCCATAAAAAGATCCACTTGGGCGAGAGACCGTATAAATGTATGAAATGTGGAAAGAGCTTCAGAAGGAACAGCCAGCTTTCCTGCCATAAGAGAATCCACACGGGGGAAAAACCATTCAAGTGTGCGGAATGCGGAAAAAGCTTCCGTCAAAGCAGCCACCTCATTTCCCATAAAAACATCCATACAGGAGAGAAATCTTATCAATGCATGGAATGTGGGAAGGCCTTCAAGAGGAGCAGCGAACTCGCTTCCCATAAAAGGATCCACATGGGGAAAGAAGCCATATGAATGAATGGATTTTCAGCAAGAGCAGCACCCTTGCTTCATATGAAGGATTCAGACAGAAGAAAAACTGTATAAACGTGTGAACTCCAGGGAGAGTCCCAGTGAAGCAGGCAGCTTCTCTAGACTAGACTTGCCTGGTTCTTTTATGCATACCTTGTCTTGGTACGAACTCCTTGCTGCCTTAAGCCCGATTTTTGCCAAGACCTGAAACCAACAGCCACAAGAAAGAATTAGTTTACTGGGGGAAGATTTCTAACAATAGGGGGTAGGTAGTTTTACATAAGTTGAATGGGCTTTTGTCATACTAATGTGCCAACACTGTTGCACCAAAAAGAATACTGTGCTTTAGTTTATGCTTTATGATGTTCACAGTCTCAGATGTTTTGACACCAGCATATAGAATTCAAGTAATCCTCAATTTATGACCACAATTGGGATCAGAATTTCCATTGCCAAGCAAGGAAGTTGTTAAATGAGTTGTGCTCAATTTTACAACATTTTTTTGCCACAGTTGTTAAGCTAGTCACTGCAGTTGTTGAGTGAAATGTGGTTTTTAAGTGAATCCGGCTTACCCCATTGACTTTGCTTGTGGAAGGTGGTGAACTCATGATCCTGGGATACTGTAGCTATCATGAATACATGCTGGTTGCCAAGTGATTATAAGTTAAGGACTATCTGGGAAACAAGCAGGGTGAACTTAATATTCTAATACAGAAGGGCAGATAAGCTTGTCACTGGCATCACTAAAACTTCTGTTAAGAGTGGGCAAAAGTAAAATCAAAGAAATGGAACTGATTGTAATTCTCAATAAACCATCTGGGAGGCAGAATATATGAGCAAGGACTTTTGGTGTCAGGTGACCAAACGTTACCAGAAGCACATCATAGTAATTACAATTTCAGCTACTCTGACAAGGAATTCTAATTCTGTTCAGAATCAGAAGATTCCTCCTCTCTTGTTGACGACTTCAGAGAAGGGATAAGGGGATCTGCTCTCAACCTAATACTTTCCAATAGGGAGACAGCTAGAAGTGAAGACGGATGGGTCCCGGAAGAAAGCGACTATATTATGCTTGAATTCTTGATATTAAGGGAAGGAGGAACAGAAAAGAACCAGAGTTTTCGTGCTGGACTTCAGAAGAGTGGATCAGATCCAGGGTCATGAACAAGAGAAGGATAGGAAATTCTGTAGAAGAATATGTTGAAGGCATAACAACAGAAGGAGATATGGTAGACTTTCAAAGATGCTCTATCATTCTATAAATGCTAGAAGGAAAAAAGGGGGAGAGAAATCCATGTTCAAACAGAAGGAGTGGGGTGGTTCCTGTACATAAAGGTGTGTGCTCTGGAGCAAGGAATCTGGAAAGTATCTCCTTTAAGGGGAACAAAGGATACAGGGTGGAAGAACAATTCTTAGGCAAGAAATCCATTATAAATTATTTTTTCTTATAACTTGTAAATGAGCAATCACCAAGTAAGCAAATGTTGGAAGGAATTACATTGGGGTGCTGTGGATGATGCTTGCGATAGGTCAGCAAGAACTGGCAAAAAGAATGAAGACCCAAAAATAGCCTTAAATTCCAGTTGTATTGCTTAGATTTCAGGGATGGCTATTCTGTGCTGCCTCTGTAAGATCAGGAGGAAGCCTCTGTCTGCATCATCCAGTGACAATCCAAAACCACGAGAAGAGGGACACTATATTGCCAGAGGAATGAATGGATGAAGATGGGTGACCTTTTGTAGCAGGCCCAATATGGGCACTTTGTCTCCTTAGAATATAAATAGCCTCTCTCTAGTAGTCTCTAACAAGGGCCTGCCACAAAAAAGAGGAAGTCAACCTATTTTCCAAAGCACCTGAAGGCAAGACAAGAAGCAACAAATAGAAACTTATCAAGAGAGAGCTAACCTAGAAATAAGAAATTTCCTGACAGAACTATCAGTGGAACGGCTTGCCTCAGAGGTTGTGGGTGCTCCATGACTGGAGGTTTTTAACAAGCAATTGAAATGATACAAGTCTCCTGCTCGGGCAAGGAGTTGGACTAGAAGACCAATTTCATACATTCCCCTTGGAAGACAACGTTCAGGCACCTGGAGATTGGACAACAGGGAAGGTACCAATTGCAGAAAAAAAACCCCAGACTTCCAGAAAAAAAGAAGGCAAGTGTTGGTGATAGGCGACTCATTGCTCAGAGGAATCGAACCAACAATTTATAGAATGAACCATCAAACTAGAGTGATTAGGGTGTTTTCCAGGAGCAATTATCAAAGTTGAGAGTAATGGGCTTATTAAAATAATTAGATCCACAAATTATTATTCCTTTCTCCTCTTTCATGTGGGGATGAATGATACAACAAAGTCCCTGGAAACAATATCAAGAGATTATGAGCAACTAGGCATGAAAACCAAAGAGATGGGGGCACAGGTGGTGTTCTCTTCCATACTCCCAATGAAAAGTAGGCATCCAATGAGAGAATGCAAAACCTTAGAAGTAAACCCCAGGCTTAGGGTATGGTGCTGTCAAAAGAACTTTGGATTCTTGGACCATGGTCAACAATACCTACATGAGGAGCTTCTGGCCAGAGATGAACTACATTTCACAGGAAAGGTCATCTTTGGAAACCAACTGCTTGCTTTATCCGAAGGGCTTCAAAATAAAACTGAAGGGGGAAGAAGTTTTAGAAGCAAATTCCAAACTCAAATCTCAGGGCAATCAATCAAATGGAAAGAAAGAAGGGAAACTCAGACACAAAATGTAGGGTTAGTCAAAAAGGACTCAGAAGCCTATATACCAATGCTCAAAGTCTGATCAGGGTGAATTTGATATCTTAGTATATGAGAGCAATTGTAACATTATTGCCATTACCGAAACTTAGTGTAATAAAGCCCATGACTGGAATGTACAGCTAGAGACATTCAAACTGTTCAAAATAAACAGATCTAACAAAAGAGGGAGTGGAGTTGCACTATATCTAAAAATTCACTTTGGCTCTATAGAAATGCAACAAAACAAGGATGAAAACCTTGAATGCATTTGGATTAATATAAAAGGAAAAAAGAATTGCCATTGCCATAGATCAGTGGTGGTGAACGTATGGCAAGGGTGCCAGAGGCAGCACTCGGAGCTCTCTCTGTGGGCACACATGCCATTGCCCCAACCTTGCCTCTGCCCGTGACCCCCTCACCAGCAGCTTCCCTGGAGGAGAGTTACCCCTGAGCGTGGCCCATGTGGAGCAGCACAGCGAAGGATATGGCAGCCAGGCAGCGTAGACAAGACTGCCCTCATGCCCCAACGTGCACAGTTGATGCTGCGGGACATAGGCAGAGGACATGGCGGCCGTGGCACTGCTGGGCTACCTGGGCGATCTGCGGCAGGCCCTGGAGGCGGTGAGTGGCTCTTCAGGCAGGCAGGGTGGGGCAGGGGGTGGAGCAGGGGCGGGGCCAGTTTTTGGACACTCAGTCTCTAAAAGGTTCACCATCACTGCCATAGGTGTATATGTTACAGGCCACACAAACATAGGAAATAGATGGACTTTTTGCTAGTCAGTTAACTAAGGTATATAGGAAGCCCACCACAATAGTAATGGGGGATTTTAACCACCCTGACATCAAGTGGAAGACAAACTCTGCACCTAGTGAAAGATCAAACAGATTCCTGACATTTCTAGCAGACAAACTTTGTCTCTCCAAAAGCAGAGAACTAGAGTCAATAATACTGGTTTAATTCTCACTAATGGATATGAAATAATAGAGGGGGTTGAAGTTACAGGAACTCTGGTGGAGAGTGACCATGCAATATAATGAATTTCAAGGCAAGAATTCTTCCTTAAAGAACATTTTATTCAAGAAACAAAGTATCGGCACTACATAGTTGAGCCCAAAGCTAAATTCCCTTCCCCCCCATACAAAGTAACAAATTGCAATTCCCATCTCCAATAAGCAAGTCATAAATCACATTCTCCAATTTGCCTGAAATGCAGGCTTTCTCCCCAGCTCCTCAGCCCGTCAAAACGTTATCAGTTCGAGTTCCCAATGAGGAGCGTTATTATGGCTAGCTGAGCTCAAGCATTCACCCCAACCCACCTTCTACACCTGATTTCTAAAGAGAAGAAAAGCATGTTAAAAACAAAGCAGAAATGGCCCAGGAAGGATCCCTGCAGATTTTCTTCCTCTCTTCCTGGTTCAGCTGAGGGTTTTCCTTCGGACTGGAGTGTGTGCGTGCGTGCGTCTGGGTGCATCGGGTATCTGGGTGTCTAGGTGACCCTCCCAAGTCCTGGCTGGCTGTGGGGCTGCCCCTCCCCTCTTGTCATCTAATGCTGGGGGCTTCCTCCTTCCATACTGAGCGGGGGGGGGGGGAGCCCAGAAAGACCCCTCAAGCTCTGGCTCCACTTTTCCCTTCCGGAGTCTCGGCAGCTCCAGCCTGGGCTCCCTTTGAGAGGGAGGGCATCTAGTCCACCCCTCCAAGTGCACAAAGAAAGGAAGACTGGGTGAGAATTGTGCGGTGGGGGGGGCGCAAAGGGAAATCCACATTCCCCCTCCGGAGCTGGCATGGAACAGGCCCCCCCCCCCCGCAAGACTGAAAGGATTCCCCTTCCACTTTCTCCGCTTGTCTCTGCTTGGAACTACCTCCCCAATCGGGTGAAATCAAAGGAGACTCTGCCCGGAGATTGATGACGCTGCAGAAGGGAGAATTCCGAGTGGTCCGTCTGCTTCTTCCGGGCCCTCCTAATTCCGAAGTTCGAGGAAAACGCCTCCTCCCTCAATCCAGACCCCCCCGATTCCGCCTCTGGGGCTGGGAGCCTCCGCGTCTCTGTCTCTCGTCTCTCTGGTGGCACTTGTGGGGCGGCATCCATGGATTCCGCTGGGCCCCCCCGATGCTGCTGCTGGTGGTTGGGGCGCTGACCTGGATCCCCGAAAGCCAAAGGGGGGGAGGAGACCCCAGGTAAGGAGGGGGCTGGGCGGGGGGAGGAGGAGGTTTGGGGAGGGGCCTGGGAAGCACCCCCGATATTTGTGGGGGGAGAGGGAGGAGAAAGCTGTTATTATTATTCCCATTTGGGGCGTCTCCCCTGGGCGCTGAAATCAAATGTGGAGAAACGCCAGGAGACTCCCGACCACTTTAATTCAAAGCCTTCGGGCCAAATCCTTCCTTAGAGACTGATCCATTTGCTCCCTTTTTTTCGCTCCTTTTACTGCCTAGGAAAAATTGTCTCCTTCTGTTTCCCATAAGACCCCCCTAACTCTGTTTTACATTGTTGTTTTTTTTTAATCCCATGTGCTTCCCATTCTTTGCGCCGGTTTGAAAATATGCTTTTTAAAATGGGAATTAACTACTTTAAAGGGCCCTCCCCCCATATTTCCTTCCAGTTTGGGGGGAAAAGTGGCCCCACCGGGATCCAACGTTCCCTGCAGACAGGCCGAGTGCTGGACCAGCTGAACTTCTGCCTGTCTTTTTCTGCCCTGGAAAAATGGAAGGGTTCCCTCACTAAGCTCCTCCCCTCCCTCATTTTCCTCCCCCCCTCCCGACCCCCACTAAGGGGGAATCCCGCTGGGACCGACGGTTCCCCATCTATCCTTCAGGGGGCGTCTTCGGTAGCCTCTCGCGGCAGGTTTCCTTCCCCTCTGACAAGCCTGTGTCCCTCCTCTAGGAGAGTCTGGGAACCATGGGTCCTGGAGTCCCTCCTGACCCTCTTCTTCATCCTCCTCGTCCTCCTCCCCGCAGTCCCTTTCCTGTACCAGGGGACGTGCGAGTGCCGCTTCCTCTCCTCTCCCGGAGCTGGCATCAAACACCTCCCTAAAATGCAGCTCCCCCACCCAGACTGAAGGGATTCCCCCCCCCCCAACTTTCTCCGGTTCTATCTCGGCTTCGCACTATCTCCTCTTGTGGATGAACTCAAGACAGACTCTGCCCGGAGACCGATGATGATGAAGAAGGGAGAATTCCCATTGGTCCTTCCGCTTTTCTGAGCCCTCCCAATTCCAAAGTCCGAGGAAACCGCTTCCTCCCCCCAAGCCAGACCCACCGATTCCGCCTCTGGGGCTGGGAGTCTCTGCGTCTCTCTCCCCGCTCTTTGGGGGCGCTGGTGGGGCGGCATCCATGGGCTCCGTTGGGGTCCCTCTTTTGTTGCTGATGGGGGCGCTGGCTCGGATCTCCGGAAGCGAAGGGGGGAAGGAGACGCCCGGTAAGGAGGGGGCTCGTAGGGGGGAGGAGAGGGGCTGGGAGGGGCCGTCAGTGCTCCTGGGGAGGGGACTGGGGAGGGGGACCTCGCGGACTCCGAATTAGCGCCTGAGCCCCGAAGTTTCTTGTACTGAAAGAGGAAGGAGACGGAAAGCGAAAGCGAAAGAGGGAAACTGAGGCGTTTTCAGAGCTGAATCCACAAAGGCCAGCAAATGTATAAGAAAAAGAGGGTTTTTTTTTTTTGGCAAAAGTGTTTTTGCAACCTCAGTTTTTCTTCTGAATCTCAATATTTTTAAGGATAGGGAAGAGTTGAGCTTCGACTCCTTCTTGGGGGAGACTCTGAATTTGGGGAGGAAACCCAGAACCCCCCACCCTATAATTCCCCCATTGCTGAATCAGGACCTGGAGGGGAGGGGTGAACTGAGAAGGATATGGGGGGGGGGTCTGAATTGCTCCCCTAAATTGGCTCCCGAAAACTTTCCCTTTAGTGAAGGGGGCTGGAGCCCCTCCATTTGAGAGGGTCTTGGGGGCTGCAGGGGGGTCTATTTGGGCGGGGGAGTGGAAAGATGCCTTGAAAATCACCCAAAGGCTGCTAGTAGGGCTGAAGATGTGAGAAGGAAATTTTAAGGTACTCAGGGAAGGTGGGGGTTGAAGGGCTGGGAGAGCCCAGGAGCATGGGTGTGGGTGTCCTGATTGTGTCCCCTCCCCAACCCACCCCCAACGGAAGAGGGAGAGGGAAGCGTGGATCTTACTGTCCCTCCAGCCCAGAGATTCCTAGGGGGTCTCATCCCTCCCCCCATATTTCCTGTCACTTTGGGGGAGCAAAGAGGCCCCACCGGGATGCCACGTTCCCTACAGAGCTAGGCCGAGTGCTGGACCAGATGAACCTCTGCCTGACTTTTTCCACCCTCAGGAGGAGGAGGGGTTCCCTCACTAAGCTCCTCCCCTCCCTCATTTTCCTCCCCCCTCCAGACACATCACTAAGTGAAGGGGATCCCGCTGGGACCGACGGTTCCCCATCCCTCCTCCAGGGGGCGCCTTCTGGCATCCTCTTGCTGCAGGTTTCTCTCCCCCCCTCTGACAAGTCTGTATCCCTCCTCAAGGAGAGGCTGGGAACCATGGGCCCTGGAGTCCCTCCTGACGCTCCTCTTTCTCCTCCTCCTCCTCCTCCCTGCAGCCCATTTCCTGTACCAGACAAAGCATGAGTGCCATTTCCTCAACGGGACGCGGCGGGTGCGGTTCCTGGACAGGTACTTCTATGACCGGGAGGAGTACCTCCGCTTCGACAGCGCCCGCGGGGAGTTTGAGGCCGTCACGGCGTTGGGGAAGGTGGATGCGGAGACTTTCAACAGGGATAAGCACAAGCTGCAGTTCCGGAAGGCCCAAGTGGATCGCTTCTGCCGGAGCAACTACGAGGTTGCCCAGAGCAATTCTGTGGTTGGCCGGAGAGGTGAGTGGGGGAGGGGGAGTTCCATGGGGGGAAATGCAGGGACCCCCCTTTTTATTTCATTTATTAGGACTCTCCCGGATAAAGATTTGCCCTTATTATTCTGTGCTCTCCGATCTACGAAATTTATTCATTGGTATTTATTGAGATTTATTGATACTCCTAATCCCTTCACCTCCCTCAAAGCGGGGATCTGAATGGAGTAGTAGGATATAACATTACCCCTAAATAAAAGTGTATAAAAAATAAGGTTAAAAATTAAATTGCTGTTAAAAAGTTTGAAATTCTACAAGGATGACAATGAAACATGCAAAAGGGAACAAACATTAATACTGAATTTCAGGCATTCATTCAGCCTCGGATTGTTTAGTTCCAGATTCCTGGCAAATTGCCTACATTTCTTGTTCTAGTTTTGTTTGTTCATATTAAAAAAACTTATTTATTTCTATCAACTGATAAGATTTCATTGTGCAAAACAAGTGTTTCATCTGCAGTTGTTGCCATTTGTTGTTGCCAGGCTCTCCAAAAATAATAGGCTACCAAAGAATTAAATAAGATCTTTCTTCCACGAGAGAAAAACCGCCAGATCCCAAGAGAAAAAGGCATTTTACCAGGTGAAGCTGGGCATCTGCTCCTTCTGCTCCTTCTGAAAATTATGGAATATTTAAGGGGAACCGATACAGATTTTGTTCTCCGCATATTCAGTCTGGAATTTATTTTTACTCCTAAATTCTTCCCTGCAAACCTAGGAGGATAATTAACTGTTCATAAAAAAATCCTGACCGGATCCCAGGATTCAATTACAAATAACCAAACCTTTAAAAATTGCACGTTCTTAAACTTTATATAATCAGCTGTTCATCAGAGAATCCCTGAACGGAGAGAAACATTGCTAGCAAAAGTTCTCTGATCTGGAGTGGATCTAAGAAGGACCCTCTTGGGGGGGCTCACTCAGCCCGCCCCCCATTAATCCACCCAAGAGTTGTGCCATTTGCTGAAGGAGAAGATCAAGAGGGATCCCTTCCAAGGCTCTTCTGTGATCTTGGGATCTGCCTGATCTCCTCAGCCACCAGCTGACCCCACCTTTCCTTTCCCCAAAATCCCCCCCCCAGATCCTTTCCGCCCTCCCTGTCCGGAATGGGGCAACTCACCGCAGGACAATTCAACAATTTTATTTAATTATTTAAAATAATTTTTTTTTTAAAATTTTGTCCTTCACATTTAATTTCTTTCCTCCCTTGGCCTCCTTCCTTTCCTGATTCTCTTTCTCCATTTCTTCCATATTGTGTAACTTTTGTGCTGCGTTGAGTTGGCTGAGTTGTCCTAGACCCCTCCCTGCCCCCCCACCCAGGCAGGAGGGTGGGACCCCTCCCCACCTCCCTCCCCAGGGGAAATGGGGCTGGGAGGGAGGCCGGAAGCTGCAGGGAGAGGTTGGGGGGGGGAACCTGGGCAGAAAAAACCAAAGGTTCAAGTACAGATTTGGCGAAATCTGGCTCAAAATCAGGGGGTCCTCATGGGGAGCCTCACACTGGAGGTAGTTGTTGAATTCAGAGGCAATCCCCCTCCCCCCTCACACCTCCTGTTCCTCCCCATCTTTTAACTATAATTTTATCTTAACTGAAAATTCCACTTTTATTGCTATATAAATATTTATCTGTTAGGATTTTAATGTTTTAATGCTGTAAGCCAGGGCTTTTCAACCTTTTCACCGACTGTACCACTTTTAGGATATATGGCAATATTTGAGTACCACCTAGCAAGGTGTCAAACACTTGATGACCCAAAAAACAAAAACAAAACTGTTTAAAGTTGCAATTCCACTGAAATGACTTATGATCATTTTTCACACTTATGGTCACACAAGCAAAGTCATTGGCAGGGCTGCTGGTGGCCAAGTGCTAAGGCGGGACGTCCTTCCCTCCTTCCCTCCCTCCTTCCCTCCCTCCCTCTTTCTCATTCTCATCTCCTTCTGAAGGAAGAATTTGACCCCTCCCATTTCCCTTCTTCCATAGATTCATTGAACAAGGAAAAGCCTCCAGAGACAGAAAAGACAAGCCATTGAGGGAACTAGCTTAAAAAGGTACATTCCCCTTTAACAATTAGCTACTGGCTAGAAAGGAAAGTTAAGGAGCCCAGTGGGCACTTAAGGAAGAAAAAAAATGTAAGTATGGCTGCTGGCTAAGGCAGCCTTCCCAAATGGCTCCATTCGTAAGTAAAGGAATGCTACAGGCAAAATCCATTCAGGAGAAAAATACTTCAAAATCCCTTGCAGCACAGCTAACAATAGCAGAGCAATAGAAGCGAACAGGAGACATCAGCCATCAGCCAAATAGAAATTGCCAAACATTCCTTAAGAACAGAAAGCCTCCATTGCACAAATCCCAGAACTTCAGAGTCACAAAAGCACATAAGAATCCTTCCACTCTCCATCTCCCTCCTTGCTTCACCTCCAGCCGGTGCTGCCTTTCTTTATTGCTGCCTTTCTTCATTCCTCATGGAGGGCAACCCCTCCTCCCTACGTTCCTTGCCTCTTCTTTGCTGCCAGCACAGGTGGCTGCCACAGAAGTTGTAGATCCACTTGTGGCTGGCCTGCTTGATCTCCTCTCCTCTCCCCCCACCCTCCTTCTTCTTCTTTCCATTCCATGCAGCTATAGCTGACTTCTCCTCCTCCCAAGGCTGCTTCTTTTTCTCTCTCTCCTTCTCCTGGCCCAAACTGCCTCCTTTTATAGCTCTCCTGTCTCCGGCACCTCCTCCTCCTTTTTCATGGGGGAGGGGGGTGAGCCGGAAGTGAGCCTGGGGCCTTTGCTTCGCCCCAGCCACTCTGCAGCTCTAGAGGACTCTCACAGTAAGTCCTTCCCTGCGCTGGCTTGCTCCCTCCCCCACTACACTTGGTTGGGCAGGGCAGCATACCATTTGCCGTGTTCATGTACCACAGGTGGTAGACGTACCACCGGTTGAAAAGCCCTGCTGTCAGCTGCCTAGAGTCATTTTATCATGAGATGATGGCAAACACATTTAATAAATAAATAAATGTTCCGGTATTCTACCTATTTTTTTAAAAATGTGCTTTTCTTTTGAATGGGATCCCTGCAATTCTCCCAAACATGCTGTGTGTGTCTTCCCCGTCTTCTGGGTCTCTTTCCGTCTCCCCCAAATCTGGCAGGAAATTCCTTCCGTTCCGGGGTGTTTCCAGTATTTATTCCTGTTGGACTTGTGCAATTTGATGATGGAAACTGATCCCAACCAGGAACGATTTATGTTTTTCCACCTTTCAGGATCCCATTTAATTTCTTGCTGCAATTTGCTTTGGAAATGACTTAAAACAAATACTATTTTCAGGACTGAAAAGGACTCTTGGCCTGAACTAACTAACTTGGTTTCCTGTTCTGGCCCCTCCTGTGTCTCCCCCCCATGTCCCTTCTCCCCCTTCCCCTCCAGCCAAGCCCACCATCTCCATCTCCCCCACCAAGCTGGATCCCACTTCCCCCAACACCATCCTCCTCTGCACCGCGAGGGGCTTCTACCCCATGGAGATCGAGGTCCGGTGGCTGAAGAATGGGCAACCGGAGGAGGGCGTGGCCTTCGGGGAGGAGCTCCAGAATGGAGACTGGACCTACCAGCTCCAGGTGATGCTGGAGACCCAGCCCCAGCGGGGGGATGTCTATGCCTGCCAGGTGGAGCATGCCAGCCTGGAGACCCCCATCACCATCCAGTGGGGTGAGCCCCTCCCCTCCCTCCCCTCCTGGTCTGGGGAGTCCATCCTGCCCTGAGAAGACCCTCCCTGTGGGGGAAGCTGGGATTGATCCCCCTTGGGTGGGGAAGCTGGCCCTGATCCTTCTGCTCAGGGGAGGCTCCTTCTCCTTCCACAGAGCCCCGTTCCTCCAACTCGGCCAAGAGCAAACTCTGGACGGGGATCGTGGCAGCCGTGATCGGGGTGATCTTCTTTGCCATGGGGCTCTCCCTCCATCTGAAGAGCATGAATGGTGAGTCTGGGGGGCTGGATGAGAGATTGTGGGTAGGGGACCATTCGGGGGAGGCCTCTCAGCAAGCTTAGCAGATGGCAAGGAGGCCCCCTTGGAAATTTGCTTGGGAAATTCTGTTCTTTGAGGGTCTACTGTATAAGTGAGTATCATGCAACCTATTATGGGCTGTCGATGGGGAAGGGGACCCCCTGAGTCCTCCAGCCCAGGAAGGGTTCTGATTGGCTCTTTTTCTCCTTTCAGCAACTCCCATCCAGCCTCCTGCAGGTAAGTTTTTCCCTAACTTATAGATGTTTCTTTAACATTCGTTAATTGTTCCTTTTTAAAAAAATGAAATGTGCCTCAACAAAACCTCCTTGCTGTGGATAACACAAATTTTTGAAATTTTGGGCAGCTTTTCATTACAGAGACCTGAAAATGCAGTGCAATCAAAAACAAACACACACACAAACACTAAAATATGGCCGATGTTTCCAAGTTTTGGAAAATTGCAAAAGGGAAGGGAACTCTCCTTGTGACATTTCACACAATTTCTGGCAAAGCAACACTTGGCTTTTCTGCCACCCCTCATCCTGGCATCATCTTCTTTGTTAATATGAAATGTCTGGGGGGGGGGGAAGTCTCCTTTCTTGATTAACTCCCCAATTAAGTCAATTGGGAAAAATTCCATAAGCCTCTGGAGATGAATTGCTGGTCCTTTGCATCCTTTTCCACTTTGAAAAAGGGGGGGGGAACACTCCCTCATTTTGTTCCTACCTATCAACCACCCCCACGCAATTTGGGCCTGTTGGGAGGGGGTGGCTGAAAGAGAGGAATAATAAGTTATTTACACTGAAGGTTTCACTTTATTTGCTATCTTTCTTCCCCATCTCTTTTTTTCTACAGCACTCATGAATTAATCCTGCTGTTCTTCCTGATTCCTGATGGGAAAGGATTTTTTTTTTCAGTAACTGATGAATATCTGGTTTTTTTGCAACCTCTGAAAAATGGAGGGTCAAGATTTTAGATTGGGGGGAGGAAGAGAATGGCAGCCTGGAGCTTCTGCTGAGACCCCTCTGGCTTTCCTTTGAAGACCTCTCTTTCTTGCGAGGGAGGGGTGGAGACCATCTAGACCAGTGGTTCTCAACCTTCCTAATGCCGTGACCCTTTAATACAGTTCCTCATGTTGTGGTGACCCCCAACCATAAAATTATTTTCGTTCTATTTCATAACTGTAATTTTGCTACTGTTATGAATCGTAATGTAAATAGCTGATATGCAGGGTGTATTTTCATTGTTACAAATTGAACATAATTAAAGTGATTATAGTGATTATAATTATAAAGATTATATATTAATAATGATTAATCACAAAAACAATATAGCAATGCTTGCTGGAGAAGCTTACTCTTCCTTGCTCAAAAATGTTGGGAGCGAGGGAAGGGGAAGGAAGGAAGGAAGATTGAAGGTGAAAGGAAGGAGTTGAAGAAGGAAGAAGATTGAAGGGGAAAGGAAGGAGAAAGAGATTGAAGGGGAAGCGATGGAGATGGAAGGAAGGAAGGAAGATTGAAGGGGAAAGGAAGGAGATGGAGAAGGAAGGAGATTGAAGGGGGAAGGTGCTGCCAAGGACGCACAAGCAGCTCCGCACAATTGCCTGGGGAGGGGGGAGGCTCTCTGGTGGAGAGCCAAGTGGCAGCACATCCGGGGCCTCGGAAGCTGTGTGGAGGATCCGCGTGCCTTGGAGCCACCGGCTGCCCTCTCACACCTGCCAACCTGGAGCCCCCCATTCTCATCCCGGCACCTCTTGCCCTCTCCCAGTTGCTCCCCCGGGACCTGCCCGCCCCTCCAGCCTTCTGAATGCCATCGCAGCAGCAGTGTCGCGGGAGCCCATTTCCATGCCACGCAGCCCATCGCACGCGAGAGGGCGCGGCCGGAGTGCCAGCTCCCACTCGGAAGGCGCTGCTTCTCCCTTCCCTTCCCGGCACGGCCGGCTGGCCTCCGACGCACATGCGGACATCACCGCTGCCTCGCCCTCTTCCCCGCCCCCTGGCCGCTTCTGAGGCCCGGAGCCTGGCGAGCTGGGAAGGAGCCACTCCTGCCTGGCAGCCCCATGGCCGCGCTGGGCGCCAGAGGGCTGAGGTGGCCTCTGACGGCAAAACAGGCTGGCCAGGTGACGCGGGGGAGGCTCCCGCACGGTGCGGAGTGCGGCCGGGGGTGGAGTGCGGCCGGGCAACCAGGAGGTGTGGAGACTGGCTCAGCGCTGCAGTTCAGCTCAGCCGGCAGCGGCAGCAGCAGTGGAGCGGCCCAGCGGCAGCGCCAGCAGCGGCCCAGACCCAGCACGGCTCGGACTGGCCGCTGAGCCAGCCCAGGACGGCGTCGGGGGCGCACGCGATGGCGCTGCGGCAGCAGGAGCAGGTGCTGTCGGAGGAGAAGGGCGCCCTGGAGGCAGAGGAGGAGGAGGAGGGCAGCGGAGGAGAGTGGCGGCAGCGGCCGGATAGAGGAGCGGTGTCTCGGTTTCTAAAGACCATTGGAAATATGTGTTTTCCGATGGTCTTAGGCAACCCCTGTGAAAGCGTCATTCGACCCCCAAAAGGGTCGCGACCCACAGGTTGAGAACCGCTGCTCTAGATATTCATGGAATGATAAACACAATTGTTTAATATTGTGTTAAATGATCTTGATCTCCAAAAAAGAAACTCTTCTTCTGCCAAATCTTGCAGACATTAGTATCTTTGTTTCTCAGCCTCCACTGTACATTTTAATCTATTAAAAAAGACTATTCTCCTTAAATCCCATTTAAAAGTTCTTCAAAAATAACTTGAACTTTCAGTGTACTTTGAAGGTGTAAGTTTTCTATGTTATTGCTGGAAATGGTATAGAACAGTGATGGCGAACCTTTTAGAGACCGAGTGCCCAAACTGCAACCCAAAACCCACATACATCGTCGGGTGCTGGGTGGGTGTGGCCATTGGGTGAGTGTGGCCCATTGGATGAGTGTGGCCCACTGGGTGGGTGTGGCTGCGGTAGTAATGGCAGACTAAAAAGTTCAATCAATCACTTCCAACTTTGCAAGATCTTTTTTTTCCCACAAGAAGTTGAAACTGACTGAATGATTGAACCTTTTTTTTTTGTACATGGCGGTGGAGGCCTAAAGGGAAAAGGTTTTATAAAACCCAGCTGAAGGCCTAGGACTGGGGTGATGGCGCGCTGCCCACAGAGAGGGCTCTGAATGCCTCCTCTGGCACCCGGGCCATAGGTTCGCCACCACAGGTATAGAATATCATCAAAGAAAATGAAAAGACTCCAGATTTGAGGCCTCATTTCAGATAATAAAGGGCATTTAGCCAGTTTTTTTTTTTATCCCAGCATGATAGGAAACAGTTATAAGACTTTGCAGGTGTGCTTTCAAAACAAAGACAGTATCTTATGAGGGGAAATGCCAATATTATCAAGTAGAACTTATGATAGAAAGAGTTTTGCTTACATTCCTTAATTAGTGTTCATTCTTTTATGGTGTTTGGAAAGTTTTACAGAGAGAGGTGATACCAAAGGGAAGACGCAAGAATGGAAGAACAGCAATATTTGCAATATGACAGAGATTAAAAAGAAAGATACTCAAATTTCATAAATGTGGCCAAAGAGATAATTCTGCTTTCATTTGCAGTATTGGTAACACTTGTTCTCCCAACTCACAATATTTGCCAGTTAAACAACCATAAAAGAAAGATTCAAATGTAAAAAGTGATAAGAGATAAGAACCCAAAATTTCTGCTTTTAAATTCCTGGATGTTTCCATTCTAGTTCCATCAATTTCTAGAGAAGAGGAAATTGTACAATCTTTCCCTGATAAAAGTGTACTTGGATCAGAATGGAGACCTAGCAGCAGATCTGATAATCGTTAGTATGGTGGTTCTTCCCAAGGAGGATCCCATCAACAAGCGATAGGGGAGATTTGATAGACAAAGACTTACAATCAACCAAGATGCTTTGTCACAGTTAAAGTTGCTCAACAAGGTGGGGAAAATATTGATGTTTTTTCTCTTTTTTCCAAAGCTGTTTCAAATGGGCTAAACCCAATCAAAAAAAAAAAGTGGATAACCTTCACTGAGAATTGAATGTGTGGAGTAAAACCTCTATAATTTTCTTAGGCAGATAAGCATGCTTCAGTTCTATTGACCAAGGCTTTCCTTCTGATGCTGTCATGCTGAATCCTGTTGTAAGCTGATCCAAAATGAGATATGCAGTGTTTATTGTTTAGGACACAAATCATTGCTGTTTAGTGTCCTTTCGACAGTTTAGTATCACCATAAAACTGCTGAGACAGGGCCTCATATGCTGGAGATTTTGGTGTTAATAGCTTTAAGTTCGCTAGTTTTTTGTCTTCAAATATCAAAGGTGAAGGCAATTCTGTTGACCAGTCCCTCAGATTTGAACTGAATCCAATGAAATGGAATCCAGACTGGATGAAGGTTCTGTTGATCCAATAGTTAATTAAGCTTCATCTTGCCTTCATTGGAGTCAGGGGTCTCCCAAAATTGCAGGCCTATAGTCTAGGATGTTTTTAATCAGCTGAGAACATGCTTATAGCTGCCTCTCCCTAACCCCAGTGGGATAATGGAATTTATGAAGGAGGTCCAAGTCTTTCAGTTCACATGAAATAATAATGACTGATATGATATGAGCTCATTTATGGATTGATTGATTAAATTTATTTGCTACCCATCTCACGATGATAATGGCTTGAAAAGGGAAGTACTGAAACATGACTTTGGCAAAAAAGAAATCTTGATATCAGGAGTAAAAAAGGGCAATTTCGAGGGAAATATTATTTAGATTTGGGCATTGGCTTGTAAGAGTGGACTTCATCTGAAAATCACTTGAACGCAACTGTTTATCTTGATTGTTAGCTTCCTTAGGACACACTGAGAGGCTATAAATCAAACTAATAATAAATATGAGTCTATATTTCCCTTTCAAATTGTGTCACCTAACTGTATTCTCTCAACAGAGAGGAACTTGTGTTGGATGCATTGTGTTGAATATCCCTTTCCACACAGGTCTCACACTCGTGACCCTGTGGTGCATCAAAAAATGCCGACTCACCCTGATTGGTCCAGAATGCAAAGGCATGCACAGTGTTGAGTTTCCATGTGTTCTTCCATAGAACATCCCTGCTATGTAGGCTCCACAGAATCCCAGTTTCTTTCCAGGTGCAGTTAAATTCACCTTCCAAACCCTCCATTAGACAGAAACAGGGTATCTGCAGGGTTTCCTCTGCTTCAGGATATCTGCTTGTCCCACCAGAGCAGATAAAATTGGCATCCAAATGATCTATTCCCTAAAAGATTCCCACTCTATGGATCATCAGAAGCCTGCCTTTTCTGCTGCAGTTCCTGCCCTATTGGACTTACTCCCCCTTGAAATTGAATAGGCCCCCCATCCTCTTAAACATCTGGAGACTTGTTACTTCTGCCAACCATTTGGGATAAGGTGAGGTCAGTGCAGAATAAGAATCTGGTGGATTATCTCAGAGAAGGGAGGTTGCAGCACCAGATAGGTTTTCTTTTAAATCTATGTTGTTGCTGTTCTTTTTATAGTTGTGTGCATTGGGGATTTTTGTTGTTGTTGTAGTGTAAGTATATTCCATTTACTGAGACTTTTCTGTCTCTCTATATCACATTTTATCCAAAGTTTTTTTTAAAAAATTGAAGGACTATAAAAGAAATATTACTTTCTTTTCTTAGATACCACAAAATGCACCAAATGCACAGATGATCAATATCCAACCAAGAACCGAGTCCAGTGTATCCCCAAAAGAATAACCTTCCTGTCCTATGAAGAACATCTCAGCATCATCCTCATCTCCTTTGCTCTACTCTTGTTCCTAATCACAGGCTTTGTTTTATTCATATTCATTAAATACCTTGAAACTCCTATTGTCAAAGCCAACAACTGGGACCTCTCCTTCATCCTCCTGGTCTCCCTTCTGCTTTGTTTCTTATGCTCCTTGTTCTTCATTGGCCGACCAAGGAAAGCCACCTGCCTTCTCCGACAAACAGTGTTCAGCATTGTCTTCTCAGTAGCCGTGTCATCTGTGCTGGCCAAAACAATCACAGTAGTGCTGGCATTCATAGCCTCAAAACCAGGCAATAAAGTGAAAAGATGGTTGGGGAAGAGCTTAGCCAACTCCATCATCCTTTCTTGTTCTGCTGTCCAAATTCTCATCTGTGCCATGTGGTTGGGAATTTCTCCCCCATTTCCTGACTCTGATCTGCACTCCTAGCCTGAAGAGATTATCCTTCAATGCAACGAAGGCTCTGCCATCATGTTTTATGTTGTTCTTGGCTACATGGGCTTCCTTGTTGCCATTTGCTTCACTGTGGCTTTCCTGGCAAGGAACCTTCCTGGAGCTTTCAATGAAGCTGATCACCTTCAGCATGCTGGTCTTCTGCAGTGTCTGGGTTTCCTTCCTCCCCACCTACCTGAGCACTAAAGGAAAATACATGGTGGCCGTGCAGATCTTCTCCATCTTGGTCTCCGGTGCTGGACTATTGAGCTGCATCTTCTTCCCCAAGTACTACATTATCATCCTGAGACCAGATCTAAACACTAAGGAACATCTAATGGCCAAAGCAGGGGAATGATTGTGAAATTGTTTCTTAGGCTGGTAGTGTGGAAGTCCCATTCGTCATCTTCAGGCTAGTGTTTTCAGCTTCGTGCTTTGAGCAGCAATGTGTGGTCTTAGCTGTTTCTTCTTTTTAACTGCCAGTGGGGGTATGAACTGATTGGGTGGGAGCTTGGCTGTGTTCTGATTGGGTGGAGGTGTGTTCTGAATGGTTAGGGGCTTGGCTGTGCTCTGATTGGCTGGGGGAGTGTTCTGTTTGGTTGTGCTCAGGTTAGGGGTTTGAGATTTTGGGCTGCCTTGCTATTTTTTGGCTTCGCGTTTGTGGTCGTGCTTCCTCTTCGTGGAGGGTGTCAGTTGGCTTCATGTATGGATTGGAGGGGTTTAAAGTGGCTAATGATGCAGCTGTGGTCTGGCTTCTGGTTTGTGGTCGTGCCTCGTCATCGGTGTGGCTTTGGGTTTGTTTTTTGCGTGGATGTGTGGTGGTGACCTCCTGTGTGGTTTTTGTGAGTGTGGGTCTGGTATCATTTTTTGTGTTAGGGAGTCGTTTGTCAATAAGGGTGGGTTTCCAAATGGCTGGTAGGCGGGAGGTATCATCTCGCTTGTTCATGCTGTGTGGGCGTTTTTCTATCTCGATGGCTTCTCTGATTATTCTGTTATTAAAATGTTCACTTTTGGCAATGGTTCTGGTATTTTTAAAGTCAATTTCATGTCCTGTGGCTTTAAGGTGTTGGACCAGGGAAGATGTTGGTTCCTCTTTTTTGACTGAGTTCTTATGTTCTTCAATGCGTGCACTTATTCTTCTGTTGGTTTGTCCGATGTATGTGGTGGGACAAGTGGTGCATGGGATTTCGTATACTCCTTGATTTTCTAATTCAATTTTATCTTTGGGGTTTCTAAGGATGGTGGATATTTTTCTGTTTGTGCAGAATGCTGTTTTGATGTTGTGTTTATGGAGGATCTTACTGATTCTGTCTGTGGTGCCTTTTATGTATGGGAGGAGGGCTTTGCCGTTTTCTTGTTCTTTGTCTTGGATTTTAGTGGGGGTTTCTTTTTGGATTAGGTTTGTAATCTTATTTCTATGGAATCCATTGGATGTTAGTACATTGGTGAGAGTGTGTAGTTCGGGTTTTAGGTGTTGTTCGTCAGCTAAGCGTTTTGTTCTGGAGATGAGTGTCTTGGCTACAGAGTTGATCTGTGCTGGGTGGTGGTGTGAGAGAGCGTGCAGATAGCGGTTTGTGTGTGTTTTCTTCTGGTAGATGGTGTGTCCTAGGGAGCCATTGGATTTCTTGTAGACTAAGACATCCAGGAAGGGAAGTTGGTTGTTAGCTTCTGTTTCCATGGTGAACTGTATTTTGGGGTGTAGGCTGTTGAGGTGTGTGAGGAAGTTGTCCAGTTTTTCTTTCCCATGTGGCCAGATTATGAAGGTGTCGTCTACGTATCTGAGCCAGAGTTTGGGTTTGTGATCCGATTTTTCTAGAGCTTGGGTTTCAAAGTGTTCCATGTAGAGGTTGGCAATGACAGGTGAGAGGGGTGATCCCATGGGTGTTTTCTGAGGTTTTCGCGGGTGTTTGTATGTAGGTCTTTGGTTATTCGGGTTTTCTCCTGCGTAAAATTGGAAGTGTCTTGGCGACATTTCGACGAAGTCCCATTCGTCATCTTCAGGCTGGTGCTTTCAGCTTCGTGCTTCGAGGAGCAAAGTGTGTGTATACACACACACACACACACACACACACACACACACACACACTAAAAATAAAAATAAAAATATGACTCTTGGGAATATCCATACTATTAAAACAATGATCACCAAGAGAATGCTTTAAGAGAATAAAATTACATACACACACAGGTAAAAAAAGGATATATGCAGTGTTATCTTAATTTTAGATGTCAAAAGGGTCTCTCTCTCTCTCTCCCTCTCTATCTGCCCTTGGTCTGCCACTCCTCTTTCCCCACTCTCTTTCTTTCTCTCTCTCTCTCTCTCTCTCTCTCCCTCCCTCTCTCTCGCTTTCTCTTTCTCTCCCTCTCTTTCTCCCCCCTTCCTATCTGCTGCTCACCTGGCAAGCTTCAACAAGCTCAGGGGTAAGCAACCTCGTCTCTTTTATGACTCATGGACTTCAACTCCCAGAATTCCTGAGCCAGCCTAGCTGGGCTAGCTAGCTCTCTCCTGCCCTTCCTGCTTCCTGCAGAAACGCAGCAAAGGGAGGAGCTCCGCCCAGTAAGCTTTTCAGCTCCTCGGAAAACACTGTGAGTGCACTCTCTTTTACACACACACACACACACACACAGAGAGAGAGAGAGAGAGAGAGAGAGAGAGAGAGAGAGAGAGAGAGAGAGAGAGAGAAGCAGGGAAGCGCAATTGCCTCTCTCTGTCTCTGTCTCTCTCCTGCAAAGGCAGAGGAGGCTGGGAGCCACAGGGGAAGGCTCAAAGAGCCGCATGCGGCTCCGGAGCCGCAGGTTGCCGACCTGTGACCTATGTGCTTAGGACAAGGAGGGCTAGCAACAATTTAAAAACACAAATATTAATTATTAATTTGTTTTATTATTTGATGATTATGTTGGATTTTAATTTTATTAATCTAATTCTGTATTTCATTGGATTTTAAATAACCATAATAGTCAAACAGGCAAACTAAGCATATAAACCAAGAACAATTGCAATCAATAATTAAATTTCAAGAACCCAAGAAATAATTACATTATCAGTTCCCTACTTTTATCATTAGATCATCCTTAGTGTTTAGATCTGGTCTCAGGATGATAATGTAGCACTTGGGGAAGAAGATACAGCCCAACAGTCCACTACCAGAGGCCAAGATGGAGAAAACCTGCACGGCCACCATGTATTTTCCTTTGGTGCTCAGGTAGGTGGGGAGGAAGGAGACCCAGACACTGCAGAAGACCAGCATGCTGAAGGTGATCAGCTTGGCTTCATTGAAAGCTCCAGGAAGGTTCCTGGCCAGGAAAGCCACAGTGAAGCAAATTGCAGCAAGGAAGCCCATGTAGCCAAGAACAACATAAAACATGGTGACAGAGCCTTCGTTGCATTGAAGGATGATCTCTCCAGGCTGGGAGTGCAGATCAGAGTCAGGAAATGGGGGAGAAACTCCCAACCACATGGCACAGATGAGAATTTGGATAACTGAACAAGAAAGGACGATGGAGTTGGCCAAACTCTTCCCCAACCATCTTCTCATTATCTTCCCTGGTTTTGAGGTCAGGAAGGCCAGCACCACCATGATAGTTTTGGCCAACACAGAAGACACAGCTATTGAGAAGACAATGCTGAACATTGTCTGTCGGAGAAGACAGGTGGCTTTTCTTGGTCGGCCAATGAAGAGAAAGGAGGACAAAAAGCAAAGCAGGAGGGAGATCAGGAGGATGAAGGAGAGCTCCCGGTTGTTGGCTTTGATGATGGGAGTTTCTAGGTATTGGAGGAATATGATGAAAACAAGGCCTGTGGTGAGGGACAAGAGTAGGGCAATGGAGATGAGGATGATGCCCAGATGCTCCTCATAGGACAGGAAGGTTATTCTTTTGGGGATACATTGGACTCGGTTCTCATTTGGATATTGAACATTCGGGCACTTGGTGCATTTTTCTGTATCTGAGAAAACAAAGTAATATTTAAAGTTTCAAGAAAATCTTTGTATGAGATGTGATACTGAGAGATAGGAAAGCCTCAGTAAATTATACATACTTGCACTTAAACTTCAGAAAAAAAATCCCCAGTATATACAAAAAAAACCACCAAGAACAACAAGAAAATAAAATTAAAAAAAATATCTGGTGTCACAACTTCTGAGGTAATCCACTAGATTCTTATCTTAGACTGACATTACTTTGAGTTTGTTTCTTTGTTAATTTTTAATTTTTTGTCAGATGATGGACATATGTTTTTTATCTGCAAACTCTTTTTAACCTATAAAAAGGAGAAGATGAAGCAATATATTTCCATACTCTCTAGATTTGGCAACAAATTTAAAGAGAGAATGAATTCAACACTGGTATCAATGAATATTTAGTAGATTGGTCTTTTATTAGTTCTCCTCCTCCCTTCTGTTCCTTTTAATCCCAACACTGTATATTAGACTTTTTTTCTTTCAGAACCATAACTATATTCCTTTATTTGTTGGTGTTATAAATGTTTGTATCTCACTATTTAACAACAAAGAAAATTGGAAAGATGAGAAAAGTTAGGAAGGAAACATCCACTTGATGATTTTATGCTGAATCCTCTGTTTGGTTTTCATTTGTTCCTTGAACCCAACCTCTCTCCCTCCATTGTTCTTCCCAATTAGATATTTCAGCTGATAAAGACTTATAATCTTGATAACAATTAACTGATTAATTGAAGGATTGATTGATGTATCTTTTGGCCTTTAATGTAAAATTGGTTTACGTGAGCAAAGAGCATTGATCTAAAATCATTCCTCAAGTTATAAAGAATACAGACGTTTCTAAGAAATCCAAACTGGCAAATAAAACAAGATTTCCTACGCAATCTACAACATCCTTCTTTCTACCTCACTCTTCAAGATATTTTTCTTATAAATCCCACTTAGGGAAGAAGTTGGACACCATTAAAATTGAGAACAAAACAATTAAACTTACATGTGTCTTTACCATGCATATTGATCAAAGTTTCCCTGTGGTGTCACCCACCTTCCTGAGTAGAGATGGTCCCCTCTGGACAAGGAATGCAGTTGTAGCAGCAAACTGGCTCTCCTTCTCGAGTCTGCTTGACAAATCCAGGAAAGCATTTTTCCACACATTTAGACTGAGGCAGAGACTAAACAGAAAAAGAAGAAATGCCAAAGAAAATATATCAGGACTCACCATCCATGTAAGATGGAGGTAGATATGTACATCAGCCAAGTCATCTCTGGAGTTCATGTAGGCAAATATGAAATCTCTGACCACTTCCAAATGGTTGCAGGAGATACAATTGCAGGCAGATGCTTCATTCAGTTCCTCCCTTTTTCTTCTGATATATCAGATTACAATAAAGTAGCTTTCTACTTAACAAAGTCTGGAGGGATGAAACTGAGAAAACATTTAAGCAGTAAGTGGCAACCGGTGGGCTCCTCCTCATAGTGGAATTAACATGCATTCCTCCATTCTTCATAAATGCTTGATTTTAAAATATCTACAAACACTAAATTTTAGAATGAACTTTATTGTAATATGTATATCAAATTTTAATTTCATTGGATTTATTAAACTAGAATAAAACTGTGATGAAGAAATAAACTTTTGACCAGTAGGATCTGGCAAGTTTTTTTCTTTGAAAGCAGTCCAAAATTATCTCCAATTAAGATAAAAAGGAAAATTTCCTTACAAACATGGGCTGTCAACCTTAAAGATGCTCTTTATTTGTATGTATATTTGTTCAGTTTATATGGCTGCCATGCCAGTGAACTAAAACTAAAACTGGCTGACTAATTTCTAAAACTATAGTGAGGTGAGATGGAGGTGAGGTCATGAGAATGTGTCCCTCAAAAAGGGTGAGTCAGGCATCTTTTGGTGCCCCACATGGGTCATGATTGTGAGCCCTTTGTGGGAAATGGATACTCAACCCAAGGTATCCAACACAATGTCCTTTCTGTTGAGAGAATAGAATTAGGTGACACAATCTGACAGGGAAATACACACCCATATTTATTATTAGTTTAATTTGTAGCCTCTCAGTGTGTCCTAGGGTAGCGAACAATCAAGATAAACAGTTGCATTCAAGGCATTTTCAGATGAAGGGCACTCTTACAAGCCAATGCCCAAATCTAAGTAATATTAGGTTCTCCTGCTTGAATAGGTTCTCCTGCTTAAGCAGGGGGCTGGACTAGAAGACCTCCAAGGTCCCTTACAGGTCTTCTCTTCTATTCTATTCCCCTTGAGATTGTCTCTTATTATTTCTGATATCAGGATTTTTTTTGCACCAAAGCAATGTTTCAGTACTTCAGTTTGCAAGTCATTATCATGGTGAGATAGGCAGCAAATAAATTTAATCAATCAATCCATAAATGTGCTCACATCAGATCAGTCATTATTATTTTATGTGAACTGAAAGCCTTGGACCTCCTTCCTAAATTCCACTATCCCAGTGTGGGTTAAAGAGAGGCAGGTGTAACTATGGACTCAGCTGATTAAAAACATCCCAGACTATGAGCCTGCAATTTTGGGAGACCCTTGACTCCAACCAGGACAAAGATGAACCTTATTTCCAAATTGGACCAAGAGGACCTCCATCCACTCTGGATTCCCTTTCCTCAGATTCAGTCCAAATCTGAACTCAGGGACTGGTCAACAGAATTGCCTTCATCTTTGATATGTGAAGGCAAAAAAACTAGTGAATTTGAAGCTATTAACACCCTGTCTCACCAGTTTTATGGTGGTACTAAACTGTTGAAAAGACACTAAATAGCAATGATTTGTGTCCTAAATAATAATCACCCTACATCTCATTTTGGATCAGCTTACAACAGGCTTCAGCATGACAGCATCAGAAAGAAAGCCTTGGTCAATGGAACTGAAGCATGCTTATCTGCCTAAGAAAACTATAGAGGTTTTACTCCACACATTCAATTCTCAGTGAAGGTTACCCACTTTTTTGACTGGTTTAGCCCACTTGAAACAGCTTTGGAAAAAAGAGAAAAATATCAATATTTTCTTTACCTTGTTGAGCAACTTTAACTGTGACAAAGCATCTTGGTTGATTGTAAGTCTCTGTCTTTCAAAAGTCCCCAACTGCTTGTCGAAGGGATCCTCCTTGGGAAGAACTAACCTACTAATGATGGTCAGGTCTGCTGCTACGTCTCCATTCTGATCCAAGTACACTTTCAGCAGGGAAAGATTGTACAATTCCCTCTTCTTTAGAAATGGATGGAACTAGAATGGAAACATCCAGGAATTTTAAAAGCAGAAATCTGAGGGTTTTTTAAAAAAATCTCATATGGTCTTTTTACATTTGACTCTTTCTTGTACTGTTGTTTAACTTGCCAATATTGGGAGTTGGGAGAACTAGTGTTGCCAATATCTTCAGAAGTCAAGAACAAAGGTTCAACAATACTTCTCAACCATATAGTATATTGACAAAAACTATAGTGAGGAGATATAATTGACAGAAATTGTCAATAATATAGAACATTTTAGGAAAGTCACAAATCAATTGAAGAAAAGCCCCAAATATCTAGAGTATTCATAAATCCTTGAAAACAACAGGGTGATTAGCAGAAAGCAAGGTTTTGTTAAGAAAAAATTTGCAAGGCTAATCTTCACTTAGGTAGAGGAGACAGGAAAAATGACCAGATAGACTAATTCTATTTTATTGTAAGACTACAATAACAGAATCTTGTAAGTGTGAAAGTACAAATTTTTCACCGTCTCTTTTGACAGTCTAAGTTTTTTTCTCAACTGTTATGCAGCATCTCTTTCTCTGGTTCTTCAAATTCATTCCCACATATCATTACACTTCTAAACAGATCGTGTGAATGCTGGTGGTATAACTTGTTTTTAGCAAATAATTAACAAAATGCTTCATGATGTGATGAATGGGGATTTAGTTAATTGAGTGCTGGATGGTATGAGATAATTAAGTGGAGAAAAGTGTCTCAAAAATTGTATCAAATAATTTTCAACCTTACTGATAAAATTGGGGAGTTATGAAAAACAATTAGACACTGGTCATTGATTCTTCCATATTTTCCATTAATAAAGAAAGTAGATAAATCATGATTTTGTGATGCAAAAATTCAATAGGAAACTAATTTTTAGCATCTAGTACTTGATACATGATTGTATGAATTAATGAATGGCAGCTACAATCTGTATTAAGATTTCATTTTAGTTTTTCTCACATTATTCTATATGTAGAATGGTTACTGATTATAATAAAAAGGTAGTAATATTTTAATGATATAATAATAAACATCTTATTTATGTCATTTATGATCCTGTGGAATCATATAAGGTCCTCTTGCAGGCATCGCACTTGGAGAAGACACTGCACAAAAATTTCACCAGCTTTAGTCAGGGACAACGAAGGGGAGGAAGAGATCAAAGGAGCTGATTTTAGCCTTGAGGAAAGACAACAAGGAGAAGAGCTATGTTGGTTTATAGGGGCTTAAAATCAGGAATCTGGGAACATTTTTTCAAATATACAAAATGTCTTGGTTGTAGAAGGGACAATGCAATGCTCTTCTAATAAGTAGGAGATGTTGTGCAGAAGCTTAAGATATTAAACCACAAAGCTCAGAAAGCACCAAAGACCTTGAAAAGGAATTTAGTTTGATGGATCCTTGTTGGGACCCCATACCTTCCACGGCTGCAGCCTCGGAGCCCCCAACCTCTCTTCTCCCTCCTTTCTTCTCCTCTGGCATAAGGACGCAGCATTTAAGGCATGGGCCAGGATCTTAATGACACTGTAAGCAATGAATGTATTTGGGATCGTCTTCCTATTCTTTAGCTTTTGGATCTCCTTTGGAGCTTTCTGGGTGCATCTTCTCCGCCCTTTGACAGAAAAGGTGTGTTTTGAAACAGAACAGTGAAAATACTCATCTTGAAATTCACTTTCCACAAAGAAAGGATCTTTATAGGCATCATCTTTTCTCCAACTCTTTTTCCACTGAAAAGGAAAGGTCCAAATACTATGGACGTACTTGAGATACCAATCCTTTCGCATGACATATACTCCAACCATTGTCATGATCCAGACTTTCCCTTCAATGGGTCCTGGCAAAGCTTCAAATGTTGAATGGAAAGGAAGAATTCTGTTCCGAATGGGAGCAAATTCTATGAAGTGAACAAAGATGTTGACTTGACTCCACTTTGAGAGGGCATCCCTGAGAGGTGCTGTATGTCCAGTAGTTGAGAATCGTTGTGATATAACAACACAAATTCTATTCTTGACAAGCATAGGAGTAAAGGTTCTCATGAAATTCTCTCCCTTCTCTGTGTCTGGAGCAAAGAGACCAATCAGGGTCCATCCAAAATGGAGAAGCAGTAGGACAATTGCTGGGTACTGGAACCCTTCTTTGGGGAACATCGGATGGAAAAAAGGGAATTGATTTTTATCACTCAGAACCTCTGAAGCAATTCTAGAATTGATCTGAAAAAAATAATGAAGAATTGTGTGTTATATTTTGGGTCCTACAAAGTCCCAATTTTTAGCTTTTAATAAATCCAATATTTTTCTTATGCACATATTAGAACAGTTTCTTGTTGAGTGGACATTAGGCCATATCACGATACAGAATGTAAAAGACAGAACATTAACAAAATAACATGTAAATGTAGAATTAAAAAAATAGTGTAATAGAATAAGTATAAAGAATGAAAATGGTATTTCTTTATGACCCCAGAATTTATCACAATTGGACTATAATTTCCTTCCAAAAAGGCTTTATTGTATATAATTTTTGAATTCTGAACACAGAGGAAATATGTTTATTTTTAATAGGATCCCAATAGATTAGTTCTCTAAAGTGCAGTCCAAGATTTTGATCTCCCTCTTTCTTAATAATAATAATAGTAAAGTTGGAAGGGACTTTGGAGGTCATCTAATCCAACCCCCTGCTCAGGCAGGAAATCCTATACCATTTCGGACAAATGGATGTCCAGTCTCTTCTTAAAAACTTC